ATCTTCCATTTTTTTTTTTTTTTTGAATAAGAAAATGAAGACTGAATACTGCACAATGATAAAGAATTTTTCCCCTTATGTGGCATTACCTTTATCTGGAGTGTGAAAGGTCACCAGAAAGTTGCGGTCACGTCTCCCTACCCCCCAGTGCTAACCGTGTCAAATAGTTCTTGATGTCTGTGCTTCTCTTAAAAGCCCAATTCTAGTTTGGGCAATGAGGAAAAAAAAAAAAAAAGAAGTAGATCCCCCCCCCCCCCCCCCATTAACGCCTAAAAGTTTAAAAAATGTAGCTTCAGCTGTTGTGCTTCTCTGGTGCTGTTCCCTACAGACTCACACATTCACTGGTTCAGAGCTGATCATTACCCAGTGTCAACCCACTTTTTGTGAGTCCAGGGTGTCAAAAACTCTGGATTGAGGTCAGTTGACAGCACCATCAGGTTTCAGATGATCTCTGACTCCCTGATACTCCAGCAATTTATTATTATTATATCACCCAACTCGTACACTCCGCTCCTCGCAAGACTTCCTACTCTCTTGCTCCCTTATCTCCTCCTCCCACGCTCATCTCCAAGACTTCTCCAGGGCGTCACCCATCCTCTGGAACGCCCTACCCCAATCTATCAGACTATCACCTACTCTACTTACCTTTTAGGTGATCACTGAAAACCTATCTCTTCAGGGAGGCCTATCCCACCCTCTGCTAATACTGGAATCCTCTACTCTTCCAGCCACTCCATCCTCCACAGCTTTTACCTATTGTACCACTCACTCCTCCCTCCTAGATTGTAAGCTCCAAGGAGCAGGGCCCTCAATCCCCTCTTGTATTGAACTGTATTGTTACTGTATTGTCTTCCACTATAATGTAAAGCGCTAAGCAAACCGTTGGCGCTATATACCGGTAAATCCTGTATAATAATTATTATTATTATTATACAGAATTTTTATAGCACCAACAAAAAAAGGCAAGAATGTACAGCTACCAAACAATTCAATACAAGAAGGTTAGAAGGACCCTGCTCACTGACCCATGGTGGTAATATACCTCCTCCCTGGCATGGCCATAGTACTTCTGAAAGAGAACCTATATCCTTTACTGGGGGAAGAAAATGGATTGATATGACTAAAATACCTTTTACTAGTGATAAGCTGCTCCAGGCTGCCTCCAGTACTGGTCATCTTTGGCCTGAAAACCATATTGCTGCTTTAAGCAGAATTTGAGTTTTAGAAGGTTTCAGCTCTAGGATGAATCAATGTTGCAGTACTGATCCTGGCACACTGAACTGTTTTTTTACTTTTTTTTTTTTTTTTTCTGTTACATTGTAGATCTTTATTGAAATGTCACCAATGACATTTCATGGAAAGTGCTTCTAAAGTCAAAACATTTTTTTACCATAATTCATTCTCTGCGTTAAGGTATAAAATAATTACCCATACCTAAATACTTACCTGTTTCCTCTCACCGATCCAGCACTGTCCTGGCTGTAGTGCCTCTGCTCTCTTGGTCTCATAGGATGCACTGAGAGCAACGGGAGCCAAAGGGGCATGGCTGAGCTATGCCTGTGTGTGTCTACGGACACACATACAGCCTTGTTTAGGAGCATGCACACAGGTACCCACTTAGCAACATGCTTGCTGAGGGGTCACTCAGAAAAAGGAGTAGACAGTGTGTTTCCACACAACTCCACTGCGCTGAAAAGTACTGTATGCAGTGGTGTTTTGTTTTTTTTTTTTTTTTTTTTTTTTCTTCACCACAAGACAATGGTGTGAACTGACACCATAACAAACAAGGCAAATTGCCTTGTCTTTGCACTGGCACTTTACTGGGCAATGCTGCAAATGGTGTGAATGGGCCCTTAATGCGGTTGTCATTCTGTAGACTTTGGGAATGCTTCTTTTGGGCCACTGTGATGTGTCTTTGGTAAAATCCAACCCAGGTGAATGTCTACCTTTTCATTTAATTTTTCACATGATAGGGCCACGTTAACATACATGTGTCAGTCACACAGGATTTCTGAGTCATCCAATTACATTGCTTATGTATTTTTCTTTTTTTCCTTTACCTTGGTAAGTCATTTGAATCTTGTGTGTGCACAGCTCAAATATATTTGTTTAAGCCATGCATCTCACCGAGAGCAAATACTTCCCATATTACGAATTGTTTGTATATGCAGCTCACTGTTTAGACAGAGCTGGGTGAAGCTGTTTTGTCCCTATAGTATTGGCTCATGCTGTACAGAGCAGCTACTAGTACACTGGCCTGAGTTACTTTTACATAAAAGCTAGAAATGAACAGCAACAATTTCCTTTTTGCATGATGTCACCTCTTCTATTGCTGGTGAAAATACATTCCCCTTCTCCTTAAAAGGGGAATCGCTGGCTCTTGAATTCTTCATTAATTTGTTACTTGCTTTGAAAAGTTTTCAGCTTATACCCTGCCCCCCCCCCCCCCCAAAAAAAGGAAAGGGTTTTTGTTTTTTTTGTATGGGACTGTATAGTTTGATACTGAACATTTTTAAAGATCTGTTTAGAAAAATAAAGGCTTTTGTATACGGAATGTTATTTATATATATATATATTTTTTTTTTTTTTCCTTAAGAAGGGGATGCCATAAGACGACCGAAACTATTTACTGACTTTTATGGTTCATTGAGCAAATGAAAAGACACAAATGAAATAGCTTGTCTCCAGATCTTCGGTTTTTGACATTCCTGTGCCCCTACTTGCATAACCCCTGGGTAGTTCTGGACATTTTTATTTGTATGTGTGTATATATGTGTATATATATAATTTTTTTTTTTTTTTTTTTGCTGGTGCCGGGAGTATAGGTGGGAGAGCGAAGTTCTCAGTCCTGAATTCCATATAAAGGCAGATATACCATAACACGAAATGTTTAGTCACAAAATGAAAAATGTTCTATAGTAAGCAACCAGGGAGAGAGAGAGAAGCTGAGGTGTGGTACAAACATTATACCGTTGTTTTTCTAAGTCAGGGGTCTCAATATTTTCTAAACAAAAGGCCAGTTTACTGTCCTTCAGACATTCGGGAGGCTGGACTGTGGCCATAGGGGAGTAGAAAATGCCCTAGAGTCCATGTAAATAATGCCTGAGGATTTGTGGTCAGTGGCAGTAAAAAATTACATAGCGCCTGTGGTCAATAGGAGGAGAAATAGTGTTCCATAATTAGTATTGGTGGGTGGAATGGTGGCTTATCATTGAGTGTCAGTGGGAGGCATAGAAGTGTACAACCCAAACGCACACGTTCCTGTGTTAAAAATGGCTGTGTGTATAAGTGGGTGCTGCAACGACTGTCGGCTGGAACCGAACAAAATCAGGGGATATAAACATTGTGGTCACATGTGTATCATGGTACTCCCCGGATTGTAATAAAGTGTCAGCTGAAAGTAGCGCTGGATTCTGGAAACAACGACCAGCAGCATATATGTCCCTGACAGAAGATAAAGACTGTTGCCTAGAGATGTGGGGGGGGGGGGGGGGTGCCTCCAATTGCCAAGTGAACTGCAATGGGAACACCCCTACAGTGGTCCTGTTAGTGCAGCGACGCATGTCACCTGCATGCACCATGAGAGTTTACTACCCACACATGCGCTCAAAGACATTCCTGCACCGGTCGCCATTATCATGGAAACCCATGACGTCGGCGCCGGGAAGGACAAGGTGGAGACAAGTCGCCGGCTTCATAGAAACACATGGCGCCGACGCCACACAAACCAATGGGTGGGTAGGCGGGTTGCAGAGATGAGCTGTGAAGAAAAAAGAACAGAAAGGAAACAGATTGAGGGCTAGTTCACACCACATGCGTTTCAGTTACTTTTCATCTGCATCCAGAGATAAAGTAGTATACTATACATGGTTGTCAATGTCATAGTTCACATCAGTGCTCGTAGTTCCAGTGCATTTCAGCTGCAGATAAAAAGCAGAACAGATCACATCTCACTCCTACAGAGCTGCACTGGAACGCGGCAAAACGCATCAAAACGTACCGGAGCGCACCAAAAATGCACCGTCGCACACATGTCCCCATCTAAATTGAAAAAAAGAGGGGAAAAAAAAAACGGACTAGAATGCATAAAAAAACGCTTTGGCATGCATAAAAAACACGCATCAAAAACGCACCAGTATGCTAAAAAATGTCAAAACGCATCCGGAACGCATCTCGACTACGTCTTCATAGTGCGAACCAGCCCTGAGAATGATGATAGTCAGTCCGTGAATGGAGCTGGGGAGAAGTGGAAGAAAAGGGAGTGATAAAAATGGAAAATGAGGCTAGAAATGGAGGAAAAAAAAAAATCATTTAAAACCTTTGGACCCATATTAGTGATCCTCGGTGTGCTGGTGACATTTTTCCTTAGTGGGAGGAATAGTACCCCATTGTTGTTCTTCGTGGATAGAATTGTGCCCCATTGTTGGTGTTCGTAGAAGATCTTGTGTCAAACTATTGGTGTCAGTGGCAGGAATGGTGCCTCATTGTTGGTGTAGTGAAATGAAAGTGCCTCATGTCATGTGAGAGGCATAGTGCCACAAGGGACACATAAAGACAAGCAAATTGTTACATCTGGCTGCAGGCCACAATTTGGGGACCACTGCTCTAAGTGACCACATTTCAAATAGTGATTGGAAACTTGTAAATACCCATACTTATTATTTTCTTTACCCACAAGTAACAGAGGAATGAATGCTTAAATGCTTTGATTTGGTCCTATTTTTCAGAGTGGAAAACCACGGTATACATCTTTATCTATAAGCAGCTAATAATTGGCCAGCAAATTCAACTAGAGCAACACTCCCAGGGAAAGGCCTCCTGAACACATCTGAGGTCTTTGATACCCCATAGACAGTCCAGTTTTCCTGGGCTTTGACAAGCTCTCTGTTGTGTTATTGTGAGGGGACAAATGGTTCTTGCCAAGATGGCTTTCTTTACAACTGCATGATATATTTTCCCTTTATTCAATGGTCCTAATTGTCTACTTACTTTTTCTTTCACAGATGTTTCTCACGGTCTATCTCAGTAATAATGAGCAACATTTTACCGAGGTTCCCGTTACTCCAGAGACCACCTGCAGAGATGTCATAGAGCTTTGTAAGGAGCCGGAGAGTTGGAGTGCCATTTGTCGGAGGTTTGGCGTGGTTCAGGTATGAGTTCCTTGGGGGAAAAAAAAAACACTTTTTAATATGGACATGTGTTCCATCTATAATCGTCATCATGGAAAGTGTCCAGCTGCCAAAACCTGAAACTGTTGACTGTAAAGCTTGCACATATTGTGTGTTAAAGCAATGGAGAAAAAGGAAACATTTCCATTATTATTATTATTATTATTATAATACAGGATTTATATAGCGCCAACAGTTTGCTCAGCGCTTTACAATATAACAGGAGACAATACAGTTCAATACAAGAGGGTTAGGAGGGCCCTGCTCTTTGGAGCTTACAATTTCATCTCATAGATTATTGGCTTTAAAAGCAGAATTTGTACTGTACCTCAGCAGAATTTGAATGCTTCATGGAGGTTCAGACAAATAATTTTTCTTTAAGGGATAGAACAATTATTCACTTATCGTTTTGCCTCATACCCTTTACCTAACCTAACCTACACTCCCCCTTTCCAGAATGTGTACTTACCTTGATCTGATGGATGCAGTTTTGCTGTTCATTTACATCCAGTGCTGCAAATCTTCACTATTTTGCCATCGCCTGTGCATTACATCCCAATAGACTTTTTTATGAGCTTGTCTGTGATCATCTCCTGCTTCAGGACAGCTGCATAGAAATCTGGATGTAAACAAACAGTGGAACCGCAACCATCAGATCTAAGTAACTCTGGTGCTGTGTAGGGGGGGGGGGGGGGGGGGGTTAATATAGGTTTCGCTCCATTCACACCATGCAGGTGCCACAGAGCGCACGCATCCCTGACCATTTTAAAATTCATACTGCACCAAAACGCATTATTATTATTATACAGTATTTATAAAGCACCAATGGTTCGCTCAGCGCTGTACATTACGCATGACACTTTGTTACCATACATTTGGGTACACACACACGAGTAAATGCATGGGGTAAATGTAGAAAATTAAGACTGCGCTAGTACTAAATATAAAACACAAAATATACACTGTGACATAGACAGAAAAAATATAGAAAATCTAAAACATGTCAATCCCAAAGAAATATTCTTAAAGTCCCAAAATATAAGTTGCTTATAAAAAGTCCCAAAAAATATGTGATAGTGAAAAAAGATGAAAATGAAAACATTCCTTTTTGAAATAAAATCCACCAAGTGAATCCACCACCAAATGAACTGAATGAACTCACCAGAGTAATGTGCTGATTAAATTCTAAACCAGCATAAGCGCTTTTTTGCTGTGGGAGCAACGATCTGCAGACAATTGAAGCACAGCTTTGGCTTGGAAGAAACGATTTCCTGGAGCAATACTCTGCAGGAGACTCTGAAGATCCACTTTATTCACATCCCATCTTGTTTAAGAGGTATTGGAATGGCCACTCGGAATAAAAAAATAAGCTCATGGTGCAGTACGTCTTAAAAACACTGCTTTATTAATGACAAAAACTCACTTACAAAAAATGGTGTCCAACCGACACCAGCATGATGAGCACAGACAGAGGCCAAGGAATAGATCCAACCACCAAAACATATGCGCTCTTGCGATGCTAGGAGCGTGCTGACGTCACACACCACTCAAGCCCCGCCCATGGGGTGCCATTAAAAATTAATGGCACTGCTGAGTTTATGCTAAAAGAGTGCATGTTTGTGTGTGGTGGGGGAAGCGTGTGATTTTTTTTTTTTTTTTTTTTTTTTTTGTATTCCCCCACCACACAAATGTGAACATAGCCTTCAGTCAGGGGAAAGTACACTTAAGTGGGACTTGGGGAAATCTACTGGGTTTTTATTGTCTCTGTCCCCCACTAGGACAGGAAGGGATGGGAAATCTCCTCAGTGGAGAAATAGGGGGAGATCATTTTATTTTTATGTTGTCTCCCCAAACCTTCTGTCCATTTGAAGCTCTGTGTCTGGGTATTGTCCATAGAAAATGAGAGGATATCTCCCCAGTAGGGACACACAGATCTATAAAAACCTTACAGATATTAACCTTTCCTACTTTGTTAATAAACTAACTTCAACTTCAGAATGTCATATTTTGTTAATACTGTTGTGTCTGGTTTCAGTGGTTCTGGATATGTAATTAGCAGGTGGGTCCTATACGGGAAGATGTGTGCGCCTCTTGTGGGTTAAGCGAGGTGGATCTATTTTTTTTATGGCAGGAAGGATGTGAATTGTTTCTGTTTAAAAGCGATTTATATAGTTTAATTATGGTGGTGTGTTTTGTTTTAAACCTCCTTCATGCTAAATTTAGGATTGCTTTTTGTTTCAGCTGAGCTGAGCTGTTAAAAATGTCAGAAATAATGGTATATATTCAGTGAATAGAAAGTGTTTGTTTTTTTTTTTTTTTTTTTTGTTTTTTTTGCCTTAAAGCTGGAGTTTAATCTGCCTAGATTTTGGTTGCTCCTTTCCCCCTCTTCCTCAACATGCTCAATACGTTTTAGCTAAAACTTGTCATTACAAAGCCTTTTTTTTTTCTTTTTTTTGGCACGCCAGATGTGGCCAGTAGATGCATGGCAAAACACTCAACTCTACCCCCTTAAAGTGCAGGAGCTTCTTTGGCGCACATAGAGCAGCTCATTCAAATGCACAAAAACAGAGCATTCACGCATCGCCTAGATGTGAATGCTGCCTAATACACAGAGTGGGCAGGCTCTTTGGAGGATTTATGCAAATATCAGAATGCCTTTATGGGTGGATTTCAGTCTGGAGGAGTGGGCGTTCCTAGGCACGCTGTATTTACATGCAGACCACCCCAAGGTAATGCTCACATGTGATGCTTGAGCCTCCATAATCAAAAGGACTAAAATCCATTGAATAAAAGGGGCAACTTAGGGACTGTCAGGCTGGGTAGCAAAGGGCTGGATGATACTGAATACTCTTTTTCTAAATTTCTGCAGCTTCTAATGCAGTGAAATCAGAGGAAGCACTTTTAGTACAGGAGAGGAGCTTCCGTAAAATATACAAATTTGAAGATTGGCCTTAAAATAAGATCAATCATCCTTTGAAACCAAGAACAAAGATGACATTCATTGCAGCTTAGATGTTAGATGTGACAGCTGCATTAGTCATCAGTTTTCAGGCGAAGAACATTTTCGACAATTACAGCAAGTAAAGGATAAAAATCCAGAAAGAGAACTAGTGTATCCACCACATGGAAAGACTGATAATCTAACATATTACATATTTGATCTTTTGGTTTAGATGCATTTAAATGGTTAGGCTGTCTGCCCACACAGGGAGTGCATTGCTTTCAATCTGTTTCCTGACTCAGACTTGCAGTATGAGAAGGTACAGTAAAGCTCAGCTGTTGTGTACCGGTGCAAAGCAGGAAGCTGCGCCTTCATATGAAATTGAGCAAATATGGCTGCTCCATGTACATAATTACAAATAAATACATAGTATTTTAAAGCTAAGATGCAATGCATCATGTGCATAAAGCAGATCTACATTTTTATTGTAGGACTATAAAATCCCTTTTAAAGCTTATTTTCAGGGAAAATGCCAGATAACTCTGTTGAAATGCATATATGGGAACTGTTTTACATGATAGTTTTTGGATTATGCCCATCCAGTTCTGACATTTGTACACACAGCACAACTCGATCTGGCATAGGATTTGCACTTTCATTTAATAGTATCCTTACCACCCTGTGATTGGACAATGAAAGGGGAAGCAGCAGACTGATGAGCTCATTGCTCTGTCACTCTGCTCTCTAATCCTGTCAACATTCTGCTTGCACTGCAGGAAAACTGATTGCCCCGTTGTGCTGCTCCCCCCCCCCCCCCCTTGTGCAGTCTGAGCCCTGCTGTACAGAAATCACAAGAGGCTGATACTAGTGCTAGTCATACACTATTTGTTATTCGAAAATGAGCTTAAACAGTTTTTCAAACACTTGGTTGTGAGAGAAAACAATACTGCCATCATCTAATGACCGGATTTTGAAGAATAAACCTGTTTTTTATTCATTATGTCGCATATGCATTGTACGAACAGGTAAATTTTTAACAGGCAGGTGACAGATTGACCTTTCACGTTATCGTCCCATCAGCAGATGTGTTGCAGACTTTTCTTTTACATTTTTATGTATATATATATATAAAAACACGTCAAAACCGATTTTTCTATTTGTGCCCATTAACCGGTTGAAAAATGAACGAACTGTCCATATGACAGCTTTTGGAATGATTTTTGGTCTACTGTATGGGTACCATAAGTCAAATGCATGCACTTGCACTGTTTGAATTAAAAAAAAAATGCATGTCATGATGTATTTGAGTACTGAGCTGTAATATTTGTGTTTTTTTTTAATATCTGCCTAGAGTTTGGCGTTAAACATTTTCTAGTACTGGGTACAATATGGAAAGGCTAGAACTTTCGTTGGGATGTGTGTGTAACTGAATGAATTGCATGGCCCCAGCCATTGTTCTAAGATGGGAAATAATCCTATTATTTTTGGGATATGTGGTGGAATGAGACATGTGAATACCTTCTGTTTTAGGAAGGCTTTACTGTGCTATGCACTAATTGGATTGAAGTGCTGTTTAGATTCCTTTAGTCCCTTCTCACCATAACTTGTATAGTTTTTATACCGTGTAGTTGAATGAAGGATGGAAAGAGATCCAGCTTTGGTCATGCCTAGGGCCATCAGTTAGATCCTCTGTGACATATACACGGACTATGTTTGGGATGATTGGGAAGTGCAGTGGTGTGTAGCGTGTACGGATGATAGATGTGCAGCACTGTTTGTCTGTGTGTGGAGCTCAGAAGAATGGCTCTTTGTCCGCCTGCATGAGCCACTGGCAAGACAAGGACCAGTGCTCAGCGGGCATATTTCCCATTATTCATTGGGAGAACGTGAGAACTGCCTGGCAGAGCCGCTTCCCTTTCAGCATTCATGTCCTTGTGCCAAAAGTAGATTGAGTTTAGGAATGACGTGTCGGTTACCAGGTCTCCTGCCTCTTTGTATTCATATTCTATAGCTTATTTATATCTTCCATTGTTTTCATGGGCCATATTTTTTCTGTAGCCATTTTTAAAGCAGAACTCCTACTTTGACATAAACATTTTACTTACTAACTATGACACAGTGGACACTTTTCTATCAAACAGGTCAGGAATTCTTTTATGAGAGGAATTCTTTTACAGCGCTGAGCGAATTATCGGTGCTTTATAAATACTGTATAATAATAATAATGAGTATCTTTGAAACTATTTTCATCTAGATGTGAATTAAAGCTAGCTCTAGGTAAACGGTAAGACACAGGGATGAAATGCATATATTGGAGCTCTTTTAATTGCCAAAGGATTTGTATTTCTGTCCAGTCATTATTATATTTTCACAGCTTGGTCACACAGTACAGCTAAGTCTGGGAGGGTAGGGGACTTGATTTTTTTTTTCTGCTGTAGTTCAGTAACATTTGCATGTTCCATCCTCAGGCTGGACTGGACAGTAAAGGAGAGGCAGCTGACTGATCAGCTCATCTCTCTTTCTGCTCTCTCCTTCTTAGGCTGCCTTCACGCTGATTTGTTTATCTTCTGCTTTTTCGTTAAAGCGGAAGAAAAACATGTTACCATGTATTTCTATGGATCTCTTCACACTGATTCCTTGTGGGTCCGGTGCGTTTTTGTTGTTTTTTTTTTTTTTAAATCCTGCTTGCTGCATTTTTGCTACAGGTTTGGTGCAGTAAAAAGGCACCAAAAATGCCCCTCCCCATTGAAATCAATGGAAAACGCTTTTTTTGAGTCACATGTCCTATAAAACAAACGCGGCAAAAATGCATATACATTTTTGCTGTGGATCAGTGTGAAAGTAGCTTTATACAGAACTGCAGCACACCAGATTCAATTATATATTTTTTCTGAGCTATTCTGTTTCTCTCAGCAATGTGTTTTTTTTAGATTTATCTAACCACAATCCTAATTTTGCATTTCAGAGCGTCCTATAGCAGACAATGAACGGATGTACGATGTTCTGCAGAAATATGGGATGCAGTGGAATGAAGCCCGGTTCTTTCTACGCCATGAGCGTCCACCATCTAGAGGGTCAGGTAGGTTCAAGCTGGTTTAACTGTACTCATTGGTTGGCGGTTACCTGACAAAGCCTTACTACTTAAAGGGTAAATAGTTTTTGTTGAGAAAATCATAATCCTTTTATATGATCTATATACATTGCAAGGATTTTGGGGACCTTTTTTGGATTCGTACCTCTTTTATTGTTTTAAGGTGGCCATAGATGGATCGCAGTTCGGCTGGTTCAGCATGGATAAGACAAATTTCAATCCATGTATGGCTGTACCTGCTTGACAAAGATTGATCTAATCAATTTTAATGACATCGATCTAATGACTGACTTCTGTTGAATGGGAATGTATGAGAACCCTTGTCAATCAGCAGCTGCAGCCACTGATCAGAATATTCTGACAGCAGAGTCCTACTGTCAGAATACAGTGCCAAGGCAGATCGGATTTCTCCATCCATCTTGCTTGTGTGGATGGGGGAATCTGTTTGCAAAAAAAAAAAAATTGGATAATCTATGGCCTGCTTTAACCACTTTCTTTTCACCCTATAGCAGATTTACTGCTACAGGGTGGGCATGCTGTGCAAAATCACGTATATAAATGTGATTTTGCACTTCCACTGTAGGGGAGCATGCATTGATTGGACACAGCAGAAGTCAATCAACAGGTGCCAGCCAATAGATGAGCACCGGCACCTGTTGATCAGCGAGAAGAGTAACAGCACATAGCTTTGCCTATGTAAATAAGGCTGAACTATGTCCTGTTAATGACGATGTGCTAGATTTTATTTTCCTGCAAAGCAGGGAAAGAAAATTAGCAGATTGCCTAGTAAAAACAGCACACACAGTACACAAAACAAACAGGTAGGCACACAGTTAACCCTTTGATTGCCCTAGATCGGGGATCTCTAAACTATGGCCCTCCAGGTGTTGAGGAATTGCAAATCTCATGAGGCCTTGCAAGACTGAGGCATTATGGGACTTGTAGTACTTCAACAGCTGAAGGGCCATAGTTTGGAGATTCCTGCCCTAAATGTTTATTAATACAGTGACAGTGTATATCTTTAGCACTGTATTGGTGTCACTGGTTCACACAAAGTGTCAGTTACTGTCAGACTGTCCGCCGCAATATCGCAGTCCCTCCATAAGTCGTTGACTGCCGCCATTACTAGTAAAAAAAACAAATTCCAGTATATATGCCATAGTTTGAAGTTACTATAACTTTTGCCAATATGCTTATTGGGATTTTTTTTTTTACCACAAAAATGTAGCAGAATACATTTTCACCCAAATTTATAAAAAGATTTAGAATTTTTAATTGGATATGTTTTATAACTAAAAGTAAAAAAAATAGTGTTGTGTTTTTTTTGTTTTTTTTTTTCTTTTTGTAGCGCAAAAAATAAAGAAACCCAGTGATAATCAAATGCCACCAGAAGCTATATTGTTGAGAAAAAATTTATATAAATTTCATTTATGTACAGCATTTGCATGATCGCACAATTATCAGTTAAAGTAACGCTGCGCCGTATAACAAAAAATGGCCTGGTCATGAAGGTGGTGGTGATGGGGGGGGGGGGGGTAAATCTTATGGAGCTTAAGTGGTTAAAGAAATTGCTGTTTGTTTCACCATGTGCATAGACTGATTCCTGAATGGAAGGGTTAACCCTCATAATAGCCACCTGAGTAAATCTCAGTGCTTTAATGAAGAAAAATGCAGTGTCTAAATCCCTTTTAGGCTAGCTTTAGGTTTTATCTTGCAAAAAATACAGGTGAATTCGGGACTGTCCATTTATCCTCTTTTTAATTTGTCCTAATAGTTACATTTTTCAGGTCTCTCCTTCTCTGCCCAAGCAGTACTGCTTGGACTTTGAGGAATGGGGTGGACCCCCAAAAGCTTGTCCTGAAAATATAGCTGCTAATGCAAAAAAAAAAAAAAAAAATCATGGTTCGTACTGAATTGTGTTGTTGCAAGGGAAATAATATTGCCATTGCTAAAGAGAGGTATTCTTGGAATGAGAAGGGAGTATTTGCAGCTATCTGTAATTCTTGTATAGCACTTCACGAGACTATGAGCTCCTTTTCCCCATATATGTGCACTGATTTTTGTTGTGTTTTTAACAGGGCACTGTAGTTAAAATTAAGGGGTGATGTTGAGATACGGAAGCCTTAGGGCTCATGTACACGGGGCGTTTGGAAAACTCTTCTGAACGATGGAAACTGACTGCTAGAAAACGAAGGTTAAAAAACGGCAGTTTAGCCTCGTTTGCATACCACGTTTATATGCATTTGCGTTTTTAAAAGAGAACCTCCGGAGACCTTCCCAAATGCCCACAATGCACTGAAAAATAGTAAATTAACAATTTCAGAAATTTTGAGAGAAATAGAGCAGAAGCAGAGAGAGCAGAATGTGTTGAGATGACCTGTCTTTTCTGGTTGTATTCACTATGGATCCCATCATGAGTATAATGTGGCACGTTCTACCATTTTTGCCTTCACGCGAAACCTGGAACTGACTGCGCTGGTGTACCGGGCTCATTTGAATACATGAAAAACCGTTTGCTTGCATTTCTGATGATGAAAGAAGGCTCTGGACAGCATCTGGACATGGAACAGTTAAAAAAAAATTCTAAATGAAACGCTTATAAACGCGGTTAACCGCGTTTACATGTGTTTGGCATTTGAAAGGCCAGTAAAATCTACTCCTGAACGCAAGTTTGGTGCGTTTTAAAAAAACGACTGTAAACTCAATTGCCGTAAATGGCTGTGTACATGGACACATAGGAAAACATTAGGAGAGTTCAGTGGCTGCTGAAATAAAATGTTGAACAACTCCTGAAAGTCAGTTTAGGAGCTGCAGTGTACATGAGCCCTTACCCCATTAGTACAGACAGACAGCAGTGGCTGAATTTAAAACTGCAGAACTAAGACGTTTCTTCAGCCATTCAATCAGAGTGAAACCTTTCCTGGACGTTTGTATGTAATGATACAGGATGCAGGGAGAGCGGAAGAGCAGAATGTTAAGGAAACGCAGTGCTAGCAACCCTGTGAGCTGTATTCTGGACTGCAGAGAACTCAGATGAAGGCAACTTTATTTGCAAAAGGAACCCAGCAGGGCGCCAGGTCAGCGTGAGTAACAGTGGAACTTTATTCAAAAAGCACTTACATTTAAAACCTCCACGGTCAGCGTCTTGAGTGACGCCATCTGGCGGGAGCTCACGGAGAGGCGCAGGGGACTTCTAACTCCAGCGGGTCTGTCGTTGTGCCCTGCAGCTACCGTCAGCTCCACCACCCTGGAGAGAGCTGCTGTCTCTGCACATTGTACTGACTCAGGACGCTGACCGTGGAGGTTTTACATGTAAGTGCTCTTTGAATAAAGTTCCACTGTTGTTACTTTGGTGCCCTGCTGTGTTCCTTTTGCATGTCTTCTTAGGGATTCCCCACATCCTTGGCGAGGAGTTGCTGGTGATTGTGTGTGCTTCAGCCCCTCCGTTGTCCACACGTTTCCTATCAACTACCACCTGGAAGGACTGTTTATATATTGATATATGCTGATTCCTGCATGTTTGCTAGTTTGTTACATTGTTTCTGGTGACATTTGTCACCTAATTGTTATTGTATGTGGATCCTTTTTATATGTTCAGCATTTTTTTATTATATTCCACAATCATTAGAGTGCTGGGTATGCTTGTAATTTTTACAAGGTGTCTTGAAGGCAACTTGATTAAAGCTTTGAAATTTAGTACAAATTATGTGTTTGCCGGAAAACATTGATCTCTGGCTGAGACTTTTTGCCCAAATTTGCTCTTTAAAGTGGTTCTAAAGCCTAAACGTTTTTTACTGTAATGCATTTCCTCCATTAAGGTAAAAAATGTTTAGGAAGTAATGTCGCTCCCTTACCTCCCCTTATAATTGCCATAGTTGTCACTCAATCCAACACTGTGCCTGTCTGTTGCGGCTCTCCCCGCTTTCACCGGCTTTGCTGAGGAGCTGCGGTCAGTCAAATAGTGTGACGAAGAAGCGAGGAATGGGGCTGAGCCGTGCTGTCTGTGCCTGTGGATTTAGGCTGTGCGGCTCGGGGTCGAGTGTGCAGATGTGCCACCATAGGAAGGGGCTTCCTATGGTGGCACACCGAGAAGAGAAGGAGCCTGGTGCGCCAGCAGGGGACCCCAGAAGAGGAGGATTAGCGCTGCTCTGTTTAAATACATTGCACAGAACGGGTAAGTATAACATTTTTGTTATTTTTTTAAATAAAGTTGAACTTTACAGTATTTTTTTTTTTTTTTTTAAATTAGCTTGACTCTTGGCAATGCACTAAAAGGCTCATTTTAAAGGGCTAAGCATATATTCACTGCAGTGATGATACACTATGGGGGGAGATTTACTAAAACTGGTGCACTCAGAAGCTGATTGGCTATCACGCACAGCTGCACCACATTCTAATTTCAGCTTGTTCAGTTAAGCTTTGGCAATAACTCCTGGTTCACATATGTGTGGGCCGTGTTTTGCGCGGGCACGAGAGCCCATTCGTTTGAATGGACTCCCGTGCCCCGTGACACGCAAGGAAGAAGTCCCTGCACTTCTTCTGAAAACGCAGCCTGCACGGGAACCTCAGTTCCCAGTACGGTTGCGTTTTCCAGTGCGGGCGGCATTGCATTAGAACTAATGGCACCCGCCCGAGGGTCCGCATTCCACTGTGCGGGTGGTGTGGCTGCACGGATTTTCGTACGGATCTGTAGCGGCACCACTCGCACATATGTGAACCTAGCCTAAAACCTGGAAGATGATTGGCTTCCATGCAGAGTTGCACTAGATTTTTCACTCTCCAGTTTTAGTAAATATCTCCTATATAGCTAAAAGATTGTGGCTCACACTCCTATGATCTTGTTGGACATCCCAATCCAAACAAAGACCATTATAATGAAGTTCTTCCCCTGCTTTACTCCATTTGCGGCTTTAACAGCCTTCACTCTTCTAGGAAGGCTTTTCACATTATATTTGTGGGAATGTTTGCCCATTCCTCTAAGGAGCATTTGTGAGGTCATATACTGATCTTGGATTGGAAGACCTGGTGTGTAATTGGCATTTTAATTCATCCCAAAGGTGTTTCGTAGGATTGGGGTCAGGGCCCTGTGCAGGCCTCCACACCAAACTCATAAAACCATGTCTATGTGGAGCTGACTTTGTCCACACTCATTCTGGAACAGAAAAGGTCCTTTCTCAAACTGTTATCACAGGGCTGGATGCACACAATTGTCTAAAATGTCTTTGTACCCTGTGGCATGAACTTACACCTCCCTGGAAACACCTGAACTTTTATTTGGTCTTTTGGAGGGGTGTCCCCATTTTTTTGGCCACATAGTGTACCATGAAGGATGCTGAGGCCAAGTGACTTTGAGTCATGCACAGCATTATTATTTGTACAGCGTCGTCTTGATCATGTTGTTACACCCACATACCCATCATCAGTCTTATCCCTTGCCTTCCTGTGTTTCTTCTGGTAATTGGAAATACAATTATTTTTGGACTGAATTGTATGTCCTGTATTGTCACGATGAAGTGATGATTTGTTGGGTTATGGAATATGCTTGGCGCCTCTTTTTCGCCTCCTTTTGATTTCATGTGTTTACTATTTTTTTGCACTTTATACATAAACAAACATCTGACTCTCAATGAGCCGGGCAGACAGGTTTATTCAACTGTACACGTGAACTGAAGCTGGAGATTGTGTTTTTATAACAAATGACTGTGAAAAAATACAGCGGAGGATATGTTTGTAGATCCCTATGAATGTTACTACTCCTGACAAATGAACCCTTGAAATACACACATCAGGATAGGCCTACTTGTCCAGGTCTTTCATATTTCATCTAGGGTGTAGTGTGCTAAGAACAGGGGCGGACTGACCATTTGGAAACTCTGGCACTGCCCGAGGGCCCGGGGTCAGTAGGGGGCCCCATGAGATGCCCCTGGTACCTTTTTTCATAGGCTTTTTTGAGTTTGGGCAAGGACACAGGGGCCCCATGATCCCCTATTGCCTGGGGGCCCCATGAGTTGTCAGTCCGCCCTGGCTAGGAACACCAAACTCTGGGAATTCCCAGCCTCACCAGTGTGATTACATCAATGCACTGCACACTCTGCTTAGACTTTGTCACTTTGGGCCCTGTACTCTGCACTGCAACCATTCTAATACCCGTCTTTCCCTGCAATGGCTGCCTTGCTTGGCTGCTTGGATTTCTCTGCTGGCACACTTGTGCAGGAGCACTGTCTAAATTGCTTTTGCTACAGTGCCACCAACAGTGAGGCCAGAGAGCTGAAAATGAGGTGGAACAGCTGTACACCAAGGTAAAGGTTCATTGAGCGGATTTTGACTTGTATTTCCTGCATTGCATTAGCAGTTCTTTGATCCTACTTGCCTGGAGCTACTCTATATAGGAAATCTGCTATGGGTGAAAAAGTGAACCATCTGAAAATGCTGTTTTGCTGATCCTCTGATTTCAATACTTTGGGTGTCTATTGGTAAGGAATTAGTTCCTGCAGTTTGTATCTATGAACCAGACATCATGAGAAGTGGCTTATCAGTTCAACAGAAAGCAAGAACTTCCTTCAGGCCTCATGCCAAGCTGATACCACTGGTTCTTGCTGACATTTTTATGGATGTGTTGATCCATGATTTTTTTTTTTTTGGAAAGTTAAACATACTTTGATATTTTTTTTTATTTTTTTTGTGTAAATGCAGTTAATGTACAGAGAGCAAACGACCCCAACATAAGACGGAATGGCGTAAAAGGCCCTGCAGACAGAATGATAATGGAAAATGGGGTAAGTGTGATGCATCACTTCGCTGTTGACAAACACAAAACTCCAAGCTGAAAAAGAATATATAGTCACGGCCAAAAATACTGGCACCCCTGCATTTCTGTCAGATAATGCTCCCTTTCGCTCAGAAAATTGTTGCAATTACAAATGTTTAGGCATTCTCCTGTCTGTTTGTTTTGTTTGGTATGACACAAAAAAGCAGAGAAATAAAAAGCCAAATTTGACACATTACATGCAAAACCCCATCAATGGACTGGACAAAATTGTTGGCAACTTCAATTTAATATTTGGAAGCACACCTCTTGGAAAAATAACGGAAATCAATTGCTTCCTGTAACCATCAATGATTTTCTTACACCTCTCTACTGGAATTTAGGACCACTCTTCTTTCGTCAACTGCTCCAGGTCTCTCAGATTGGAAGGGTTCCTTTTCCCAACTGCTGTTTTGAGATCTCTCCATAGGTGCTCCACAGGGAAATCTCCCCAATGAGACTCAGATGGAAGTAAAAACGGACAATGGTTTTATTTCTCCCCTACTTTATTCAATATGGGGGAGAATAAAAGCTTTAGCTGTAGATAGACATGGAAACAGATATTTAAATTATAATAAACTGTTGTTCGGGTTGCACCAATACCAAGTACTTGCACGAGGATTCACACTAGTGCAAATACTTCTGATACCTGAAACTAATACTTTTTTTGTGGTGCGATTCGAGCCCAGAGAAAAAGAATGGGCTCAAATCGCACTGCAAAGAATTGCATGCGATTTGAACAGGAATATGGTTTGATTCCTGTCTGAATCGCATGCATTTTCCAGCACAGCTCTGGTGTGAACCCAGGCTTTTCATAGTGACATTGACCTTGAGTTCGCACAGGAGCAGTGCAGGAAACCTACCTGCATGAAGGGTTCCACCAGCAAAGCTCTGGCTCCCAATCCAACTGTGGACATCAGCTTAAAGCTGAGTTCCACCTGAAAAAAAAAAAAAAGTTAGCAGCTACAAAAACTGTAGCTGCTGACTTTTAAAATAGACACTTACCTGTCCCTTGGGCCAGCGGTGTCCTCACCACGGCTGGTTTCACCGGCTGTCTTCTCTCCCTGGCGCCGGTATCTTTAGTGTGGGCATCCGGCTGTGACAGCTTGCGGCTTCACAGCCAGGTGCCCACTGCTCATGTGCGAGAAGTGCTGCGCTTTGTGAATGGCCCAGTAGTCTTTTGGGACCTGTCACGTGTAGCACAAGACTTTGGGGAGGGAGGGCAACTTCCGCTTCCGATCGCCTAGGCAATCGCAGCGGAAGTGGGAGCTGGTACCTGTCAAATTCGGGTACCAGCTCCCCCTCCTCTCCCCAAAGGTGCCAATCCTTAATGGGAGCGTGGGATAAAGGCTTAAAACGGAACTTCCCCTTTTGGGTGGAGCTGTGCTTTAATTTCCTGTCTGTGTTGCTTAGCCAGTATGGTTTACAGAGATTCTAATTGATCAGCACCATCACGATGGCACTGACCAATCAGAATCAGTCTAGCTCAGCATAGTACTGTCAGCACTGTGAGGAAAGGAGAGAAAACCACGGGAATTTGACCGGATTGGGGAAGCAGCTTTTCTGTGTTTGACAGCGAGGGATCATGGCAATCTGGTACAGCAGGACCGGGGGGATGGGAAGAGGGTCCAGTGGATGGCTCGAACAGCTGGCAGCTGGGGAGAGAGAGCCGCTGGAGATGCAGGGAACAAAGCCATGAGAGAGAGGGGGGGGAGCCCAAACCACAGCCACTGATGTCTGCAGTTGGATCGGGAGCTTCCTTTATGGAACCTGCCATGCAGGGAGGTTTCCCGCACTGCTTCTGTGTGAACCCAGGCTCAAGTCACTATGACAAGCCTGGGTTCACACAGGAGTTGTGCAAGAAACCCCATGCGATTCGGGTAGGAATCACACCTCATTTCTGTTCAAATCGCATGCAATTCTTTGCAGTGCGAATTGAGCCCATTCATTTTATATGAAATCAAATCACACTGCAAAGGTATCTGTACTCTGCATCGACCAGTACTTGACTGAAAGTATCGGTAGTCGTACTTCCTGGTAAAGAAATGGTATTGATGCAACCTTAACTGTTGTAGAATAATAAATTAAAGCTGATACATATGTAAGAGTTCTATTTATTATAAGCTCCTAGTTTGTCTAGTTGGCAGCAGTGATGTTGTGTGTGTCTTAATTTGTTTTTTTGAACCCTGAAAGTGACTTGGTTGTTAAAATAAAAATGAAGTATCCCCTGCAAAGAAATTAATAAGTTTCTGCCTCTCATTTCTGCTGTAACAAAGAGAAACTGTTGCCCTAAGGACATTTTAGAATCTAACCCTTTTAAGGAGTCTCAGATTTACCCGCTGCACTCTATGGTATCCCCTGCCAACACCCTTCATCGCCACTTTGTCCTGCAATGCTGGTGGATTTAACCGCTGAGCGCAAACACAGGAATCCAACAAAATCTGGAAGTGTTGAATTCCTGTAAAACATAGTGTTGGTAACTTAAAGCGCAACTACACTATCTGAGCACAACAAATAAAAAAAATCAATGAAATATTTTTTGAATATGTAAAACAAACTCCCCCACCTATGTCTCCATGCTTTGTTTACTGAAATATTACTTTTGAAAAATAACCTCTAGCATTCCTGGCCATGGCCATCTTGAATAAGGGCACATTATTCATGTAGCACTTCCTAAAAATAAAATGTCAGGTCTGGTTACAGGGTCTCTTTAAAGAAAACCTGTATCCATGCCCCTCTGTCTTTGAGGTGACATGCGCAGTACCTTAGAGAATGGGCAATTCAGACAAACGTCTGCCCCATTTTTGAAGAACTGACTTTACATTCTTTTTTCTGAGTAGAGGAAGACACAAGGAGGAATTATTGATCTCGCAAGCACAATACACAATGTTCTGTGACTTGTTCTTATTTTAAGTGTCTAGCAGACATTTCATTGTACCTTAAGAACAAAAATGGCTGCATTTCCCACATTTAAGGTCCTTATTAAATGTAACATGATTGCTCTCTCTAAAGTGATTGTAAACTTCAGTGAACGTTGAGTGTAACATAGTGCAGCATGATTTTGAAACTGTGCAGGTGCTTCTTTTGGTGCAAAAGAATGAAAAAAAAAAAGCATGTACATTCATTTTTGGGGACACACACACACGCACGCGCGCACACACGCTGCTGTGTAATCATGCCTTTTTTTTATTTAATGTATTCATTTACTTGTGTGATTTATGCAATACTCATATCTGTTAACAGGTGAATGGTCCCAGAATGGACATGACCCTAGCGGAACTTCAGGAAATGGCGGCCCGACAGCAGCAGCAAATAGAATCCCAACAGCTAATGCTGGCTACAAAGGTAAATCCATTGGGGCAATTTCATTGAAGTAATTGGTTATTAATTAGACAAGGATCTAATACCCTACTAAACAGAGTAGAGTAGGTTGAAGTGTTACATGTAGTACATATTATTTGCCATTGAGATTTAAGCTTATGGCAGTCAGATCAGTTATCTGCTTTCCTTTGTGCTGCTTTATTGAGTAAGCCTACAAATATTTGAAAGACAAATCTTGTTATACAGTAGCTATATTTAAAGGAAATCATTTACTTGAATGCTTTTTTTTTTTTTTTATATGCTGGGCAAGCAACTTAATTTGTAACTCCCGCATTATTCACTCTGCTGACTCAAAAAGAATAATGAAATGTGAAATCTACCGTAAACTATCCTTAGATTCCATGAGGGGGCTGCCAATGTTTAGGGTCCTCTTTGCCATTATTTGACATGACCTCTCTGGTTTCCTTTAGGAACAGAGGCTGAAATATCTGAAACAGCAAGACCAGCGTCAGCAGCAGGCCAGCGAGCAAGAGAAGCTGAAACGCTTGAAGGAGATTGCTGAGAATCAGGAAGCCAAGCTGAAAAAAGTGCGAGCCCTGAAGGGTCATGTGGAGCAGAAGAGGCTCAGCAATGGCAGATTAAGTAAGGCTCTCCTTCTGTGTTGATTTTTTTTTTTTTTTTTTTTTTTATTCAGAAAAAATATTACATGGAGAGTTAATGTTTTGATTTTCTCATCTTACTCATCAGTGGAGGAGATCGAGCAAATGAATAACCTGTTCCAGCAGAAGCAGAAGGAGCTCATGGTAGCCGTGGCTAAAGTGGAGGAGCTGAATAGACAGCTGGAGATGCTAAAGAACGGGCGTATTGAGGGTTACCATGACAACCAGTCAGCAGTTGCTGAACTTGACCGGCTATACAAAGAGCTGCAGGTAAGTTAATGGAGTGAGCGATTTTGCCCCTAAAGGATCGGCACCTTTTTGGTATATTTATCTTCAGTCCCTCCTGGCAGGCTGAGTATTTTGCTCATAGCATGTGATTATGTAGACCAGGGCTTAAAATTTCAAGTCCTGAGCTACTAGCCAGGCCTTAATAGTCAATTGCCACCAACAAACAGAGACACCTGTGTACACACACACACACACACACACACACACACACACACGTATGTATACACACACAGGCACGTACACACGCATACACACAGATACATGTACATACACAGAAATACACACACATGTACATACGTATACAGACACCTGTACATACATGCACACACAGACACGTACGTACGTACACACAAACACACATGTACACATACATGTACATACACGCAGACACATGTACAGTTACACACGTACATACACACAGACACATGTACATGCATACACGTGTACACACACACACACACCCCTATAAAAAGTTGCAGTACTTCGTTGTTCACTCACAAATCCGGGCACTGTACTCTAGGGGGAGGCAGAGAGCACAGCACACACTCCTTCCTTTGCTTTCACTGCAATCAGCTAGTGAGCAGTCTGACGGCTCCCAGTGCAAATGACAGATCCGGCCTGAGCTCCGAGCCTGCTCAGCAAGACGGCCCTGGGGGACACACTTGTCCCCACCATAATTTCCACTCGCCATTGGCGAGCAGACTAGTGGAAATTTCAAGGCCTGATGTAGACCATGGTGATCCTCACTATTCGGCCTGCCCAGTGTCACACAATCCTTTTATTCAGAATCTTCCCAGCATCTAGTGTATTCCCCAGCAGCCAGATATGTGCACCATGTATTCCATTCCTTTTCACTGGAAGGTCCATCAATTGAGTACAATGATACTTTTTTTGGAGCAAGTTATTTATTTCTTAGGAGTACTGTTGGTCCAGTCTGACTTTTTTGACATAGTTCTTTTACCAGCATAGTATTAAATAAAAAGCATGAAATTTACAGTGTGGGCTTAGAGACCCTATAACATAAACATAAGATTGATACTTTATATAGAAATGCAGTAAGCTGAAATGTTGTCATGGTTAGTTAATTTGGATAAATATACTAAAATAAGGATTATTAATAAATGTCCAAGTGGCATCGTTCATGATGAATTTTGTTGCTGGCTTAGTTTGACATGATCTGATGAGTATATTTTACATACCTGCCATTGAACAGTATCTATGAAGTCAAGAGGCTGAGTGACAGCTGAAATTGAACCTGTGCTTTGGCCACCTAGGTTACAGGTGTCAAACTGGCGGCCCTCCAGCTGTTTCCAAACTATAAGTCCCATGAGGCATTGCAAGATTGACAGTTACAAGCATGACTCCCAAAGGTAGAGGTATGATGGGACTTGTAGTTTCGCAACAGCTGGAGGGCCGCCAGTTTGACACCCATGATCTAGGGCAAAATGGTAGGGTCACTTTAACTTGGCCTTACCCTAGCCGCTTATACTTGCCTTCATTTTGCTCCCATGTTGCACCTTTCAGCTGCTTGGAGTCATAAGTCCTAAGTAGGTTACTATGCACCTGAAATGTAGCTTACACAGGGCAATGGATTTCCTGTGTGATTGATAGGCCCAGTGCTGTCAAATAGCTGTATGTTCGTCCATATCTGAAAGAATCTGGCATTTTGGTTCTGGAGCCAGAGGAGAGGTACAGTGGGTATAGAAAATAATTACCCCCTTTTAAAATAATCACATTTTGTTGTGATCCACTTGGATAACATCCAAGTGGAAGATGTAACACCAACATGTCAGGAAAAACTAAAAAAAAAAGTTCAAAAACAGAATCACTGAGTTGGAAAAAATGGCTTGAAAACTCAAATCAGGTGTATCTAATCACCTTCTCAATGGCACACAAAGACATTTGGCTTTCAGCTGGGGTCATTTTGATTAGCTCAGCATGAAAAGGGCTTTTCTGGAGCATTTCAGTCCTGGTAGTGTAACTGAAGCAAACAATCAACTATGGGTTGCAAGGCACTGTCAAAAGGTCTCCGGGATTAAGTTGTGGATAGGCACAAGACAGGAGATGGATACAAAAAAATTCCAAACGCTTTATCAATGCCTAAAATCACAGTGAAATCTATTATTAAAAAGTGGAAGGTATTTGGTAGAACACAGACCCTCCGTGAATCATGACATCTCTCCAAACTGGATGAAAGAGCCAGGAGGAAACTGGTCAGAGAGGCTACTAAGAGGCCTACAGCAACTCTAAAGCAGTTACAGGAATTTATCATGAAGAGTGGTCATTGTGTGCATGTGACAATGTCACAAATTCTCCACAAATGTGGCTTATATGGGAGGGTTGCAAGAAAAAATCCATTCCTCAAGAAATGCCACATGCAGTCACAACTGAGCTTTGCCAAAATGCACCTTGACAATTCTGAGGCCACATTGAAAAAGGTGTTCTGGTTAGATGAGACTGAAATTTAATACTTTGGCCTCAACAACAATAAATTCTATATCTGGCAGAAATCCAATACAGCTCACCATCCAAATAACGCAATTCCTGCAGTAAAGCATGGAGGTGGTAATATCCTGTTATGGGGGGTTTCTGTGCAGCAAGGACTGGAACACTTGTCAGAATAGAAGGAAAAATGGATGGGGCAAAATACCGTCACATTCTTGAGGAAAATCTGCTGCCCTCTGCCAGAAAGTTGTCAATGAGAAGAAGGTTTGCCTTCCAACATGACAATGACCCAAAACCCACAGCAAAAATTACCACACAGTGGTGGAAGGAGTAGAAGGTGAATGTCCTTGCATGGCCTAGTCAGAGCCCAGACTTAAATCCCATTGAAAATCTGTGGAAAGACTGCAGTCCACAAACTGTTTCTATCAAATTTAACTGAACTTGAGCAGTTCTGCGGAGAAGAGTGTGCAAATATTGCAAAGTCTCGATGTGCAAAGTTAGTACAGACATATCTCAACCAAGTAAAGGCTGCTATTGAAGTAAAAGGTGGTTCAACAAAATACAAGGGGGTGATCCTTTTTCTAACTCGGCAATTCTGTTTTTTGAATTGTTTTTTTTTTTTTTCTGACTTGTTGGTGTTCTATCTTTCACTTGGACATTATAAGTTGTATTGAGTAAATACAGCTGGATTAAACAAAAACTGTGTCTGTCTTCATTTCAGGCTGCAAAGAAACAAAATGTGATTATTTTAAAGGGGGGGGGGGGGGGGGGTGATTCTTTTCTATACCCATTGTGTATATATATATATTCTAGGGATGGGGGAGGGATTACAGCAAACCTGGTATTTTATCTTGGATGAGCAAAGCTCAGCTTTGTTTTAAGGTTTGTAACAGGTAGGAGATTAGAAGGAGGACTTCGAGAGAAAACAGGTGTGTTGAAGGCATGTGCTTTGCATCCCTGCAATACACTTTACATCACAGACCAGACTGTCGGCATGAAGGTCAGGTTGGTTGGTTGTGGTATTTTTTATTTATTTTTTTATAAGTTTTATGGAAAGAGCGAGCTATGAAAATAGCGGTTTGTGACAGATGGCATGTATTAGAAAAATAAAATTGCTTGCATCAGTTTTATTGATTGATTATGGTCTAGCAGACCAAATTGAAACCTCTTATTGAAAATGCTAGTTCACTGGTTGTGTCTGGCCACACTGTTTTCAGACTGGAACAAGTATGCTTGAGAAGTCAGAGGAAAGCACTCCTGATCTACATACCCATCCCAGATCATGACATTCAAAATCATTAAAGCCTTTGGTTCAGCTTGACAGCCAGGCAACTAGCATTTTCATGGGAGAAGTTCACCATTGCCAACTTGTATATTTTGTCATCACAGGTTTCCTTTAAAACCTTTCTTTCCTCACAACCTTTGCCCATTGGCATAGATCTAGGTGTGCTGTATTTTGAGGTAGCTTTTCCTGTAGCTGTACAAGGCTTTCCTTCCGTTTTGTCAGTGGCTGTGTATTAGCATGCAGAGCTTTGCCTGCCCTGTCTTTTAGAGTCCTCTGTCTGTCTTAAGGGTCTCTTGTTGTGTGCCTTCATTCAGTTGAGGAACAAGCTGAACCAGGAGCAGAATGCCAAGCTGCAACAGCAGAGAGAGAGCCTGAACAAGCGCAACTCGGAGGTGGCCGCAATGGACAAACGCGTCAACGAGCTCCGAGATCGTCTCTGGAAGAAGAAAGTGGCCCTGCAGCAAAAGGAGAACGTACCAGTAAGTTACCTCATGAACACAGAACAATCAAGTTCCATGGGTAGAAATTAGCTGACCCTTACTCTGCCAAGCACACTAGTACTTGGGACTAAAGCCAAATGCACTGCTAAGCAGGAAGAACAGGATGTGCATGCCTCAAGGAAAAATGGATGCCCCCATACACATGCATAATTACAGACGCTATTTAGTAACAAGACAATTTAAAATGTTAAATCCCATTGGTAGAATTGTATACTTTATGCTACTCAAATTCACTTCTATCCAAAACCATAAATGACCAATTAAAGAGCTCCTGAAAACTGCTGCAGGTATAAAGCAATCACCTAGAGATCTGTACATGTCTGCAGCGAGCCTCCCAAACCCCCCTATTACACCAAATGGAAGACCATTTCACAAAGCTGCAATACTTCTAGGTAGCCTTCCGTCACCTTTAACCCATATACATTCCTCCAGGCCCATCGCTATGATGTACTGCCTCTGTGGTCCCTTGGAATTTGTGTGAGATAGAAAGGAGCAGACAAGCTTTGGCATATTCTGTCTTTTCAGAATGGCCAGCATTAAAAGCCGGTTATTTATGTATCTGCAGGTACCTCTAGGTATTGTGCTTTTATAACTGCAAATTTTTTCTGTTTTTGTTATTATTATAACAAATAAGTCAATCGCTTAATTCCTGTTAATTTTTTGTATTGGATACAACTATGGATAATGCTATTTTATCCCCAGATACACAAACCTGAGGCAAATAATCCTATGGAACCCTGGCAGCTGTAGTAATAGATTTGAGTGTTTCCATTTAGGACAGGCCACACAGTACCAGCACTCACCCCTGTCCATACTATAATCCCATTTCCATATGCACAATGCAGGACAGTTGCATAGGGCATATAAACACCATAGATTGCAAGGGATTTTTTTTTGTCAATGTTTTGGTTTCTGTGTCTTTGGAATGCTCCATGTCTGCCAGACCAACTTGCCAAGGGGTAGATGTAAACCCAGAACAAAGGGGTAGATGTAAACCCAGGGCTTGCCAAGGGGTAGATGTAAACCCAGGGATGTCTTAGTAAACCCAGGGGTCTTAGTGGAAGGCTTGGAAATGAGGCTATAGATCTTTGGCATTACAGGCTACCAAGTGACTGCACTATGATCCCATAGGTTGCATAGATCATACAGTGTTTGTAGTGCAGAGTAATGTTGGCGCCACTAAGAATATTTCTACACATTGTCACTGCAGGGTGACATTGGTTATGGTGACTCCTTGCCCAGATTACAAAGATCACAGCTGTTCCTGAGAATAGGTTATTACATCCCAGTCCATGGAACATTTATAATACAGTTTATTATAGAAGGGATTGCACTCTGCTTTTTTTTTTTTTTTTGTTTCGCTAAGAGGATCAAACCGGAATATCTAGTACATGACACACCAGCCTGCTGACTCCTACCATTTGCATATTAATGATGAAAGGTCTACAATCTGCTGAGCTGTCATTACTTTCAAATGGATCATTTCACATCAGAACATTGAGCAGCTGAAGCCCATTACTGCAGTATTGTATAATTCCCTTCCAAAGTGGTGTTTATTGCAGTAAAATGTGCTTATCCCTGCCATCTTTGTATTTGTGTTTTCAAATTCTTTTTTTTTCCCAGCTTCTAAGGGTGGTGGGCAGAGACATGAAAATACACTTTCCATCCACCACCACCACCATTATAGATACAAGCTATTTTGCCCCATAGAGACCTGTAAAGTGTCCTCAGGCTGTAGGTGGAGAATACAGGGTGGATTGACATGTTTTGTCACTTCCTTCCTGCAACATTTTGACTGGGAGTGTGGCAACAATAATCTGACTTTGGGGCTACTGGAACATGGTGTCCTGTAGCTGTGAAGGGCAAAGCAGGGACACAAACAAACCATGCTAGGACGGATTTGCTTCCATGCCTAGCATAGTCAGTTTAGCAATAAGAAGAGTTCTTTCAAAGACTGTCAGGATCACCAGGTATTTGCTGAGTTTTACAGCTCTTGGTGACAGTAGAGATTGCAATGGGTTTATAATGGTACAATGTAACACAGTCATAATTTTTTAATTTTACAATTAACATGTATACTACTGCTCTTTGAGGTGTACAGTAACAATTCAGTGTCCATACTATAATCCCATTTCCGTGTTTTCTTCCTAGAAAACTTGTACCTCTCTTTTGCTGCTTCTTCCTGCAATCATTGTCTTTTGCCGTGTGCTTGGTTTGTGTTGAAAAGCTTTGCCGCCTCTCTTTGCTTTAGATTTCATCTGATGGGAATCTGCCTCCACAAGTTGTGCCTATCTCCAGCAGAGTGGCAGCTGTCGGCCCTTACATTCAGTCTGCCACCATGCCACGTATGCCATCCAGACCTGAGCTGCTGGTTAAACCTGCCTACTTGGAGGGAACCACTCCCACACAAGTACCGGATGTGCCACTGAAGTCCCAGACTCTTCCCAACATGAAGACTGCTCAGGGCAAGGCGCAATCTGGTAATTTATCCTACTGTTAAATGTTACTCCTCCTCAACTGTTTTGTTGTGTACAGTGGTGACAAATATCGCAGCTATATGCAGTTATAGGTCCAGGAAGGGTTCTTTACTGTAAGTGCTGAGAAATTGTGTCATTGTCCTCTTCAGGAGCTACCTCTAAAAAAAAATAAAAAAAAAATTATAGAAATAAATAAAATGTGTATATGTGTGTGTGTGTGTATGTATATATATGTGTATGTATGTGTGTGTGTATATGTGTGTATGTATGTATATATGTGTGTGTGTGTGTATATATATATATATATATATATATATATATATATATATATATATATATATATATATAAATATATATAAATAAAATGAGTTTTACCTGTATTTCTGAAAATGCATAGCAGCATGTTGTACAGGATGTTTTTGTTTTGGTTTTAGAAGGGATTTCTGTTACCTCTGAATGCACAGCTTTTTGTGGATTTAAAGCACAACTCCCAACTTTTCCATATTTGAAAGCACATTAAAAGGTTAGAACCTCTGTAGGGTTTTTATTGCTGTCTGTAGAAATATTAGGGTTTCCTGTCACTTCCTCTCAGGGCAGGAAGTAACGGTATTTCCAGCGGGGACACAGACAAAAACACACACTGATAGATTGAAGACATTAATACTATTGCTGTTTGTGTTCCCAGTTTCTTGTATGTGCATCAAAGGGGCAAGAAGTGAAGGAAAATTCTGGGATTTGATTGAAATTTTCTCTTCCCAACCCTATCCAATAAATAAAACTGAACTCCAGCCTTGCCCACTCCTGTACTTAAATTGCTTACTCTGATTTCACTGCAGCGATGTGCTTCTAACAGTGTGCATTAGAAGCTGGAGCAAGCCAGATGGAGCCCACCTCATTTCCTTACTGGAGGATGTCCAGCATCATCTAGCACTTTCCACCCTAACCTTACTGTCCCAGGCCTGCCTTTTTCATTATTTAGATTTCAGTTCTTTTAGTCATGGAGGCTCAGCGTCATGGGTGGGCAGTTTGCATGCAAATGCAATCTCCCTAACATTGCCCACTCCTCCAGACTGACACCCAATGATCAAGGCATTTTGATATTTTTATAACTCCTCCCAAGAGCCAGCCCACTGTCCCAGTACTACTCAGCCCTGGTGCAAGCAGAGTGCTGTGATGGTTTCAGGTAGCTGTGTACAGGATCCGGTCTGCCCCCCACCCAGTGATGACATCATGAATCTAAAATAAAGTATGAAATGAATACAGGTCCTAATAAAGATATGTCATGATCATGTTGACTATGGGGGAAAGTAGGGACCAAGGAAGTCAAATAATAGAAGCAGATTAAACTTCAGCTTTAATGTTTTGGGTTTTAATTTTTAAATTTTTCTGATTATGCAGTAATTTGCTTCTAACAGACAGGTACTTGTTATTGCTTCCCTAGTGCGATTAGGTATAGGTAGTTCAGCTCCAATATTAAACCCTGGCTATTTATAAAATATTTTATTATAATATTGTCTTCTGCATGTGCCCTGTCTCATTCTTGAGCATTTTACATTTGCTTTGGTCAAATTGACTCCACTAAAGCAATGGAGTTTCCAGGGCTCAGAGATGTCACGTGTGTGGATGAGCTGGGAATAATGAGCATCTTGTGCAGCCATGGAACACTATGCATTGTGTGTGAAGTTTGAATCTATTCTCCAGGCACCGGCGTCCACAGCATCAAACTTCTGCAGGCTGGTACTGATTGGAGCACTGTTAATGGCGAGAGTCAAAGCACAGCAAAAGGCTCTGTGACTACCAGCGGACAGGGTGAGTGAGACCTAGAAGAATGGGAATATTTTAGAAATGCAGGAGACCTTCACAAAATGTTTACATGTCTCATCTCCATGTATATCCTGATACTTTATCTCTGTACTGAATCTCTTCTCTGTTACTGTGAACATTTGTTATTCATTCCATCTTCATTCTGCTACAGAAATGTATTGTGCTCAGTTTAGTGCAGTACTGCCTTGGATGGTGTGATACGATGATGAATATTAGTCACCTAATGGTTTCTCTCTCAGCTTGGTTACAACTAATATTTTCTCACTTTACAGCTGTAGATACTGATCCCTCAGCACGGGACAAAGATAAGAAGACCAGACCTAATTCCATGTTTGATTCTGTTCAGCCTCCTCCCGCTCCCCCCAATCTTGGCACATTACGAAAAAATCAGAGTAGTGAAGATCTGCTCAGAGATGTTCAGGTACTTCACACACGTTGACATGTAACAGGGCACATATATATGTCTTTGCTCCTTTTAAGAAACCTGCTTGCCTTGCCTAAATAGAATAATGGGTCCCCCTCCACATTATCTTGTAGTCCTGCCTGCATACTGGAGGGCACTGCAAGGAATAGTGAAAGTAAACCCGAGGCACAGCATTGCTTGCCAGGATAGAGGAAGATTTTCACTAACCAGAAGAGGAATCTGCACAAGGGACAAATGTTATTGACTGTAAGATATGTCCATTGTGCTGATTTTTCTGTTTTTTGGTTCTACAATTTAGACTTGAATTATTTTTTCAGTTCTGCTAAAGTGTACTTTCTTGAAATATATCCTCATACTGAGTTTCTATACACTAACTGAAAGATAAACCAAAATTTAAAGTTTGAAATACTTACCTCTGCTCCAATGATCTGACACCCACGAGGGCCCTCGCCAGCGCAGCATTTTCTCCCTGGCTTCTTCAGAGTGATTGGCTGGTGCAGTACGACGTAACGCCCATGCATATGCAGGACGTCGGTTATCTCGGCATACAGGCACCATGCTGGAAATGTAAACTGAGCTGTACTGCGCATATATTAATGAAGATTGCAAACAGGCAGATAAGCTTATTGCATGTCTATTCTGCAGTTAAGAGCCTGCCTGCCTGAAATTTGTTTTTAAATGTAGAGTCTACATGGGTGCTCAACCTGTGGCCCTCCAGCTGTTGTGGAACTACAAGTCCCATGAGGCATTGCAAGGCCGACAGTTACAAGTATGATTTCCAAAGCCAGAGGCATGATAGAACTTGTAGTTCTGCAACAACTGGCGGGCCACCAATTGAGCACCCAGGCGTCATGCACAACAGCAGCTGTGGGAGGGTGACAGAAGTGCATTGCATCACTGATTGTAAGCGGCTTAAAAGGTTCCCATGTAGGTGCTTATATATGTTCTGCTGCAGGTGGTCACTTAAGATTTGGAATTCTAGAATTTCTTAAATTTTTTTCTATCAGTAAAGGTTAATATTTTTTTGTCTCCTATTACAGACTGCAAATAAAAACACGGCAAAAGTTCCACCACCTGTTCCCTCCAAACCAAAACAGATCAACCTGCCTTACTACAGTCAGGCTCCCCAGTCGGCTGCAGCTGATACAAAGACGGAGGTAACCCCACCAAAGCCTACTTCGACCTATGCTGCAAACAAGCAGAAAGTATCCGTTCAGCAGAGGCTGTCTGTGCCTTCCAGCCAGGAACTTCCACCACCCGCCAAGTTGGATAATCCTCCTGCAGTGGCGGTTCGTCCGTTCACTCCTCAGTCGGCCAAAGACCCGCCAGTGCCACCGTTCAACAAACCTCAGATGGTGGCTGCTAGTTCTATCTATTCCATGTATACAAAGCAGCAGACTCCTGGGAAAAACTACAGTGTACAGGGTGCCCTCAGCAGAGCTCAGACACGGGCTCAGTTTTCCAGCGGTAAGAATAGCATTCATCTACGATCGTCTATTGCTGGGGCTCAGTCTTGTTCAGCAGAATTGGGTTGCTCTGCTGCACTGTAGGTGTTTTTGAGTTTGATCCAACATGCCTTTTGGAGATACAGGTCATCCATTCTCTGGTTTTTGCCAGATTTTTCTTTGCTAAATTCAGTCAGTAGCTTGGATTAAAAAAAATACAGATATTGGGAAGAAACCCAGGACCACAATCCTTCCTTTTTTTTTTTTTTTTTTTTTTTTTTTTTTTTAGGATGTTCACTTTATTCATTATCTAGAGTTCTGTATGTATTTGTGTAATGATTTGTTGGGTGTTGGGTTCCCAAATCAAATCAATGCCTGACAGATGTGTTGAGTATTTTGATCTGTATAACCAAGCACTTGCAGGCAACGCTGGCATTCCTTTAAACCATGGGGTTTGCCACGTTCTTTCTCTTTAGAAGCAGTGTTTTAGGGAATATATTACAAAACAAAAAAAATGTGTAAGAAACATTAGCCTTTGAAGATTAAGGGGGAGCAGTAAAAACGGCTCTAATTGCCTGCCTGTTTTTACTGCCTCCAACCGCAAGTGTAAACAAGCCCTTGAAGGTTTTATTGATGCTGCCTCCTTTATTCTGGATGGAGGAAGATTTCACCTCATGGAATCATCAGCACAAGATACACATCCTTAATGACTAAGTTATGACCCTTGTGCTGTTTTTTTTAAGCTGCATTTAAGCTTTGCAAAGCTTCCAGCACTCTTCAAGCAGCTTTGGTAAATGCTCTGTGTGTTTGCTGTGTATTTTTGTTTCTTTTACACAGTGAATCCCCAAGGTACAAGAACTAAGCAGTTTCCACTTTCAGAAAGAAAATGGAAAGTTTGTAGATCAGCTTTCCTTAAAGGGGTTGGGAGGTGTGCCCCTCTTAGGGTTCAACTACTGATATGGTAAAGGATTGGAGTCTCAAAGAGTATGTGTAATATATATATATATTTTTTTGTTTCTTTTTAGTTTATGGTAAACCAGTCATTGGTGGTGCAGGAGCTCAGAACCAGCAAAACGGCAGTCTACATACAGACCTCATCTTAGTAGATGGACAGACTAAATCCAGCAGTCCAGAGCCAGACTCTGAGACTCCGGCAACCAGCAGTGAAAACCAGGAGACCGAAAGGATTCCCCGTCCACTCAGCCCTACCAAACTGCTGCCATTTTTATCCAACCCATACCGCAACCAGAGTGATGCTGACCTGGAGGCTCTGAGAAGGAAACTGTACAATGCCCCCAGGCCGCTAAAGAAACGTAGCTCCATAACAGAGCCAGAAGGACCCAATGGACCAAACATTCAAAAGCTTCTGTATCAGAGGACTACCCTGGCTGCTATGGAGACCATCTCTGCCCCCAAGCAGACCCCTGTGACGTCGATCTCTGAGAGCTCCACAGAGACTCAAAGTTTGCAGGTCTCCACAGATGTACAGGATGAAGTCCCCACAGAAGATCCCTCTTCTCTGCATGTCCTGGACATTCCCCCACCCGAAGACAATGTTGGCATGTTCACCGAGGACATAGAGATCCCTTCGCCGGAGCTAGGTCCAGACAGTATTCCTGAAGGAATCCCCTTCCAGGTCTGTCATCCCCAGCAGAGGAGGTGGAGGTGAATCAGGATACAGTTCAGCCTCCTGATACATATGTTGAAGAGTACCCTCCCTACCCTCCACCCCCATACCCCACTGGAGGAGACCCAGAAAACTTGGTAGAGGACATTAACATGCACCCTCCAGAAATCACTGAGCAATTCTCTCTCCCTCTTGTAAGTATCTTACTCCTTGAATAGTGCGGATGTATAAAGCTGAACTCCAGCTAAAACTTGGCACAGGTCAGGACAGGAAGTGATAGGAAATCTCTCCAACGGGAGTGGGGGGGGGGGGGGGGAATCGTTGGAGCATGGAGCATCTGACCGTGTTATTGTTGTTTGCGCCCTTCTGTCTTTCTTGAATAGAATAGCACAGTTGAGGTTTAAAATTGCATTTGTTGATGTTGGCAACATCAGTACATAACTTTGGTTTTGTGTTCATCTGTTCTAAGTGTTGATCCACAGCTAAGAAGCTAGTAGTAGTTATATTCAACTGGACTTGTTTTGTTACAATTCGTTTGTAATATTGAAGACGTGTTGTGGATTCTCAATGCCACTTCTTCAGTTCTGATGAATACCAGGAACATATGATATCCACACAGGTAGCACAGACCTCTCAATCCAATCAGTGTGTAGATGTTGATCGTCCTCTGTCCAAATTGTGCACCTCACTGTCCTTGAAAGAATGTCCCTTCATTCTTACCTTAAATATGTAAACCCTCACCTTGTAAAACAAGCTATTCAGTTTAAAATAGAAATTAAAGACAAAACATTTGTGTATAGATATAAAAACATTATATATACCCCCCCTTTTTTTGTTAAGTGAATATATACCCTCTGTTCTCAGCTGCATAAGAGCTTGGGGAAGAGAAACTGGACACTGATCTTCCCAGTGAATGGCTGTGCGGGGGATGTGTCAAGACAAGCCTGATCATTGGAGGAGAGCAGGCTGATTTCCCAGTATAGCTAGAAAACTGACCCTGCTGTTTTTTCTGCCTAGTGTGGTCAGTTTTTAATAAGTAAGTAAGCAGAGGGACTTGCAGGATCCCCAGGGATTTAACACAAAGGAAGCAATACAAAGAGAACAGGATACTTTTGAATACAAGTGCATGGTACAGCAGGCACATATCATTAATATGAAATTATTGGATTTTACATATTTTTTTAAGGTGTAGGAAGACTGCAAACCTGTAGAATTTGCCATCACAGCCATGGTGACTGGATTAAAGTGGTTGTAAAGGCTCAAGGTTTTTAGCTTCAGATATTCTAAGCTTTAAGGTAAAACAACCATGTGCAGCAGCCCCCCTAATACTTACCTGAGCCCCATCTTGATCCAGCGGTATGAACAAGAGTCTCGGTTCTCTGGGGACTCTCCCTCCTCATTGACTGAGACAGCAGTGGGAGCCATTGGTGCCTGCCGCTGTTCATCACAGCCAGTGAGCCAATGAGGAAAGAGAGGGGTGAGGCTGAGCGTGACCTAAGAAGAGGAGGATCAGGGCTGTTCTGTGCAAAACTACTGCACAGAACAGGTATGTATGACATGTTAAAAAAAAAAAAAAAAAAAAAGCCTTTCACTTTAAGATGTTTGTGCTATTCATGGTGTTATAAATGCTGTGGTATCTTCCTGACACTCTTTAGAACTGAGATAAGCTACAATGAGTCTTCAGCGTTGTCCAGTTGAATGTTACTACTATTAGCCCCATGACCTGGATAAATGAAAACATTCACAGAAACAAAGTTACGAATGCTAACCCTCAGGCTCCATGCACACGGGGCGTTTTTACTAATGCTGGTAACGTTAGTTGTGTAAAGTCATGGTAGAAACATGAGTTATTCAGCGGTTTTAGCGTTTTTGCATTAGTGTTCACCAGCATTTTGCCACATTTTTTCGCATTTGCGTTTTTTTTAAGCTTTTCTTTTTTTTTTGGCTAAAAGTCCAAAAACGCCAGTTTGCAGCGATTTGTCGCAATTTACGTTTTGTTGCGATTTTCAATGTTAGAGCATTTTTACAGCTAAAAAACTCACTAATTTTGGGGGTTTTTTTTCCCAACCAAAAATTGCCCCTGCCAAAAAACGCTGACTACAGCCTGTGTGCATGGACACATAGGATAACATGCTGGGGAGTTTACTGGCTCTAGAAAAAAAACCTCAAAAGCCAAAAACAGCCGCTGTAAAAACGTCCTGTGTGCATGAGGACTCAGAGTGGGAAACTGCTAAATTATTTTCCTAGAAGAAGCAATGTGCTTTTGCTTTTTCTACTATGAGGACTGTTTAATCTTGATTAGTCAGATGATGTGCCCATGCTTTTGCACAAATATTTTTTATTATTGGATGGTTTCTTAGTCTCGTTTATATGAGAAATGGGCAAAGTGACAATGTTTGCTTTAAGCCTGGGTTCACATATATCGCATGTGATTCATACAGGATTCGCACCGCATTCCTGTGCAAATCACATGCAATTTGTGTGCGGTGTGATTGAAGCCATATATTTTGTATGCCTCTAATTGCACCACACCCGCATCAAAAAAGTGCAGGACCCTTTTTTGGGTCCGCACTAGAATCCAATCGCATGGGTATTCACACCAATGCAATCCGATTCTGCAGATCGCACTGCGTTTTGTGGACCGCTTTCGGGGTGCCATTAACATACACACCCGCATCGGTTTGCTTGAACGGGGTGTGATTCTGATGCGGTGCGGAATTCGCACAGAAAACGCTGCAAATTCCGCACCGCATCAGTTTGATCCAGGGCTAAGGGTCAGCACATCCAAAATTGATGTTTCCTTTTTATGTTTTATTTAGCTGCCAAAAGTTTAAACTGAGACTGTCACCTGCCCATTCCATGATACAGTATGTTCCCTGATAGCTCACCTTTACAGCAAGGTATACTCCATGATCCTCATTCACAGATGGAAGAATCCACCCTGAGTAAGCTACAGCATTACCTGGGTACCAGGGGTGGACTGACAAGTCATGGGACCCCCAGGCAATAGGGGATCATGGGGCCCCTGTGTCCTCGCCCACACCCAAAAAAGCCTATGAAAAAGCCAATGAAAGGTACCTGGGGCATCTCATGGGTCCCCCTACTGACCCAGGGCCCTCGGGCAGTGCCCGAGTGCTCAAATGGTCAGTCCGCCGCTGCTGGGTACATGCCACCACCCCACCTGTGTTGACTGGGTTTGTGCCGGCAATTGGCTGTTAAGGCCGGATTACAAAGCCTTGTTCAGTTAGCATAAAGAAGTTCGGGCTCTTAGAGGTAACCTAGCATGGATTGATGACTACACTTTACTGGACAGTGTGCATATCAGGAGGCACAGTCACTTTGTCCAGAATGGACATCAGCTCATTGCATCATTCAGGCAATGAAACTGAAATCGTCTGTCAAAGTAGACCTGCAACAAACCTAGGGAATTTAGTTTGAGCATATGGTGAAAAATGTAGTTAGTGAAAGAGATGATCAGCAGATCCAGAATTATGGACATCTGAAATTTTATGTAAATTTGACTTTTTTTTTGTAAAACTTGACGGAATCTGTTATTGGAGAAATATGAATGCCATTACTAATGTCTCTCTATAAAACTGCTGGTTGCTGGGCTGTAAGGCTGACACTTTGGGGTTTATTTACTAAAACCGGAGAAGTGCAAAATTAGGTGCACTTCTGCATAGAAGCCAATCGGCTTCCAGGTTTTATTGCCAAAGCTTAATAGAACAAGCTGAGGTTAGAAGCTGATTGGCTACCATGCACAGCTATACCAGATTCTGAGTAAACCAGTTTTAGTAAATCTCCCCCTTTTGGCTTCATATGTGTGCTTGTCTCTGACCCTTTCGATCTGCATGCCTTTTTCCAGTTCAGTTACTCAAAATGTAATTAAGCCAAAGACAGCCAGGCAACTGGTATTTTTAGGAGGTGGTCATTGAATGTAGTCACCTTGTTTTTTCTTGTAATTAGGTTAATTTTAGCTTTATCCCCTGTTCCTAACCTTGGTGTTTGGTCCTATAGCTCTGCAATTGGCAAAACACATGCCCTTCCTGCTCATTGGGGTTTTTTTGCTCTGTATCAGCAGGTGGTATATCGAACCTCTGCAGAGAGATTGCTGCTTTCCCACAGAGAAGGGCCCATCATACTGGCAGGGACCAGACTTTTCTAATCAAAGTGTGGCTACTTAAGAAAAAAAAAAAAAACAAACTATAAGATGTTGAATTTCTTGTGTTTTGATGCACCTGGAGTGTTCTTAGCTTATTTAAACCAAGAGTTGGGCATTAACAGAAAAAGTTTGCATTTTGGCATTTAACTTCATCTACCTTTACCTAGATCTACTAATCAATATGTTGTGAGTTATTTTGCTGGCAGTAAGCTCTGCTGGTGTAATTGTATTTTCTGTGATCCCTTTGCATTCCCTGGATTTTAAGTTCCCAGCTCCGCCCACCTTCCCACTGCAACTGCAAACTTTTATTCTAGCTGTTTAAGTCCAGAAGGAGTGCTTTATTGGAAGCAGCAGGCAAAATCACATTAATGCACAGATTATTTTACTTAAGCTCCCAAATGAAGATTTTTTTTTTTAATCCTCTTACAGTCCTGTAGCCCTGCTTGGTATGATTTTGTGCCTTTTAAAATACTCTTTTCTGCATCTATCCTTCACACTGATGTGCTGTTGTATCAGAGAAGTGACCACACTTCCATCACAGCCTTCATCACAGACTCGTTGTGAAGGAAAGGGGCATATTAGACCATTTCTGTTACTGAGTGCTGATTACAGAGTGTACTAGGTCCAACTCTGGTTTATTTTGGGTGCCACAATCCATTTTAGAAACTCTGCACAGCTGCTGTAGCAGAAACAGAGTTGAGACTATAAAAAATGAATGTTGTTGGTACTACATATCTATTGCTGTCACTTCAATTTGGGCTTTTAGCCAATATGTTCCATAACCAACTGGCATCCACCCACGGCTGAGTTATTGAAGTGGTTGTAAAGGCTGAAGGTTTTTTTTTTTTTTTTTTTTTACCTTCATGCATTCTATGCATGAAGGTAAAGAAACCTTCTGTGTCCTGCTCCTATGATAAATTATCTGAGATGTGTAGCGTTTACCCTAGGGTACAATATCTCCTTTTCTCTCCCCAGGGAAAGAGGACAAACTTGCGAAAGAATGGCTCCGAGAGAATTGGACATGGAATGAGAGTGAGGTTTAATCCGCTGGCTTTGCTGCTTGATTCCTCGCTGGAGGGAGAGTTTGATCTCGTGCAGAGAATAATCTATGAAGTAAGTTGTTTGTATGTCTTTTACTCTGCTCACCCATGGGGAAGCGTTAAAGGGATACATCGTTCTCTATGTTAAAGTCTGTGTACAGGCATGACTGAAATTTAAAGTTCATACACAGGTATTGTCAAATACAAGAGTCCTGTGCATTCTTACTTGAATCTTGGTGGTCTTTGTGTCTTTCTTCCTGATCTGTGCAGTAATCCAGAGTGAAACTTGCTCTCTGTGCAGGAGGTTCCTGTAATAAAGACCAGTAACTGCTGTTCTCTCTCCTTGTGCTGGGTGACTGGTCTTGTCTCCGCCTCCCCCTGTACTGTTCTACAGGCAGTCTGTAATGGGTGGGTTTGCTGGGTCCATCCCCTAGTTCTGCAATGCTACTTTTATTCAGTAATGTCTGTGTTTGCAAAAAAGCATTTGGTACACTCACAGTGGATTGTGGCTCTTGAGGGATTGGAACATATATACAAAGGGCACACAGGCCTAGTGCATTACCATACAAAATGTTTATTAAGAAATAAAGTAGGTGTTGTACTCACAAATGACAATAAAGTCAAGGCACATCATAAAAGAACAGCTGGGTCAACACCGCGCTGAGTAACAGTCCGCAATAGGGAGTGCAGACATCCATTAGGCTGACGCGTTTCGAGGACTTGCCCAAGTTGAGTTGGCTCTGAGGAAGAGGCAAGTCCTCAAAGCGCGTCAGCCTATTGGATGTCTACACTCCCTATTGCGGACTGTTACTCAGCGCGGTGTAGACTAAGCTGTTCTTTTATGATGTGCCTTGACTTTATTGTCCTTTGTGAGTACAACACCTACTTTATTTCTTATTAAACATTTTTTATGGTAATGCATTAGGCCCGTGCGCCCTCTCTTTGTTCTTTCCTCATTCAGTAAATTTGGATTTCCCCGGTCTGTTGAGGGCAGCAAGGTGTGCATGTTCCAGGACATTCTTAATGTGGTTGTAGCCTGCATCGAGTCCATCCCCAAGCGCAGGAGCATTTGTGTTTGCTGGTTCATTGAAATACAGTGGGGCAAAAAAGTATTTAGTGAGCCACCAATTGTGCAAGTTCTCCCACTTAAAAAGATGAGAGAGGCCAGTAATTGGCATCATAGGTAGAACTCAACTATGAGAGACAAAATGAGAAAAAAAAATCCAGACAATCACAAGAATGTATTTGCAAATTATGGTGGAAAATTAAGTATTTGGTCAATATCAAAAGTTCATCTCAATACTTTGTTATATATCCTTTGTTGGCAATGACAGAGGCAAAACGTTTCCTGTAAGTCTTCACAAGGTTGGCACACAATGTTGCTGGTATGTTGGCCCATTCCTCCATGCAGATCTCCTCTAGAGCAGGGATGTTTTGGGGCTGTCGCTGGGCAACACGGACTTTCAACTCCCTCCAAAGGTCATGTTGGAAGACCCAGCCACGTTTCATCTTCAATGCCCTTGCTGATGGAAGGAGGTTCACACTCAAAATCTCACGATACATGGCCCGATTCATTCTGTCCTGTACATGGATCAGTCTTCCTGGTCCCTTTGCGGAGAAACAGCCCCAAAGCATGATGTTGCCACCCCCATGCTTCACAGTAGGTATGGTGTTCTTTGGATGCAACACAGCATTCTCTCTCCTCCAAACACGACAAGTTGTGTTTCTACCAAACCGTTCTATTTTGGTTTCATCTGACCATATGACATTCTCCCAATCCTCTTCTGGATCATCCAAATGCTCTCTAGCAAACTTCAGACGGGCCCGGACATGTACTGGCTTAAGCAGGGGGGCATGTCTGGCACTGCAGGATCTGAGTCCCTGGCGGCGTAGTGTGTTACTGATGGTAGCCTTTGTTACGTTGGTCCCAGCTCTCTGCAGGTCATTCACTTGGTCCCCCCGTGTGGTCCTGGGATTTTTTGCTCACCGCTCTTGTGATTATTTTGACCCCACGGGGTGAGATTTTGCGTGGAGCCCCAGATCGAGGGAGATTAACAGTGGTCTTGTATGTCTTCCATTTTCTAATTATTGCTCCCACAGTTGATTTGTTCACACCAAGCTGCTTGCCTATTGCAGATTCAGTCTTCCCAGCCTGGTGCAGGTCTACAATTTTGTTTCTGGTGTCCTTCGACAGCTCTTTGGTCTTCACCATAGTGGAGTTTGGAGTGTGACTGTTTGAGGTTGTGGACAGGTGTCTTTTATACTGATAACAAGTTCAAACAGGTGCCATTGATACAGGTAATGAGTGCAGGACTGAGGAGCCTCTTAAAGAAGAAGGTACAGGTCTGTGAGAGCCAGAAATCTTGCTTGTTTGTAGGTGACCAAATACTTATTTTCCACCATAATTTGCAAATAAATTCTTTCCAAATCAGCCAATGTGATTGTCTGGATTTTTTTTCTCATTTTGTCTCTCATAGTTGAGGTCTACCTATGATGCCAATTACAGGCCTCTCTCATCTTTTTAAGTGGGAGAACTTGCACAATTGGTGGCTGACTAAATACTTTTTTGCCCCACTGTATATATAGTTCAACAATAATGCTAATCCTCCCTGTCCCCCTCCTAGGTCCCATCATTCCTATTTTTTTTCCTTTTTACCCTGTTTCTGTAGCAAGAAATGTCTTTTATTACTCTCTGTGACATCGCTGGCTTGTAACATTCTTGTAGCAGCGGCTCCAAGGGGTCATTTCCTTTTTGCTGGTTGCGCATCATCAGAACATTAGAGCTGTTTCCCTACCATTGTTTTGCTGGGAAATATCCGTGTATGTGTATAAAGTTGGACAGAGATGGGCGGGGGTCAGGTCAGGCGGAGTTCTGTAATCCGGCAGGCATGGCTGATAATGCTAGTTGGGATTTTAGGTTGACAACACACTACCTTTTTTGCACTAAACAGGAAATTAGGAGCATACCAGTTTTCTGACAAATCAGGTATGCAGTTTTTTTTTTTTTGTTTTTTTAAAGAGACAAGACGTGAAAATGTACATGCATTGTAGAAATGTACTCATACTTTAGGTATGAAGGATCCTAACTTCAAGGTTCATGGAGTAACAATAAATATGCTTGTACAGCCCATCTGACATCGTATTTATTTATTTATTTATTTTAATAATCGTGCTTCCACTTCGTCAGTGAAATTTACAACAAGAACTACCAAACCGTTATTATTTATTACATGTATTTTCATAGCACCACCAATTTATGCAGTCTCTACCCTCATGGCGCTTCCAATCTAAAGTCCCATCTCTCTCCTACACACACATACAAGCAGAGAGAGAACATACAAACTCCATGCAAATGGTGTCCTGTGGTGATTTGAAAATGAATTGGACACCTTTCCTTGATGGTGATAAGGAACTAAAAAAATGTTTTTTTTTTTTTTTTTTTTTTTTCTTTTCACTATGAAATTATCCCTCTCTGGTGACTTGGCAGTTCATTATCTTCTCTTTTGTACCTTTTTTTTCCTTTTCTTTTTTTTTATATATTTTTTATAGCAGCTGGAAAACATCCTTGTTCCCATTTTTGTCTGTGGTAATAAATGAGGCTTGTCTTTAGCTCAGACTTTGACCGATGAGTTTTATTGTGTTTATGTTAATAGTGTGCAGTGCGGCAGCTCTCGCTGTGTGGGAGCAGTGAAGAGCTATAACCATAACATTCTACAATAGTCTGCTGCTATTACGTTCCTTCCCTGCAGTGAATGTGTACTGAGAACTATTGCAACTTTAAAGAAGACCTACACTGTGAAATCTGTGCGCAAAAAATTATTATTATTACAGGATTTCTATAGCGCCAACAGTTTGCTCAGCGCTTTACAATATAAAGGGAGACAATACAGCAACAATACAGTTCAATACAAGAGGGATAGGAGGGCCTGATCCTGGGAACTTACAATCTAATAGATGCAGAGGGCAAAGGACTAGTCAGCAGCATTGCCTCTGGCTCCCTGCAGCTGATTATTTTCCATTTACAGACTTACCACTAGAAGCTTCAGGGCCAGTTCACACTACATGCTTTACAGTGTGCTTTTTTTTCTGCATTCAAAATGCACAGAAAGTAGGTTATATGGTTGTCAATGTCATAGTTCACAAATTGTGCTTGCAGTTCGTGTGTTCCTGTTGCAGAAAAAAGAAGTAGAACAGGCTGCATTTTTCCTGTACAGACCTGTACTGGAATGCAGTAGAATGCTCTGGAATGCACATGTCCCTAATTTAAATTGAAGAAAAAGAGAGGGGGAAAACTGAACCAGAAAGCATCAAGAACGTGTCAAAAAACTTGCATGTGGAAACGCATCTAGAACGCATCTTCACTGCATTTCTATGGTGTAAACCAGCCCTAAAGGATAAGTTCACCTTCTATAAGATGTTACACACATACTAATTGGCCAGCCCCCCAAGTCCCCGTTGTGACAGTGGCCCGGGGAAAGAAACAAATGCAGCCTTGCCCCCGCATTTGCAGTGGCTCCACCCATTGCCCACGTCATTCATTCAGAGTTCTGTGAATGGGAGAACTACAACGAACATCAGCCTTTGCAGCTGATGGTTTGTAGTTCTCAATTTACTACCAGGGCACTGAGCAACTCTCTAGGTAATTAATCCTTCCTGTCATTCAATAGCTGCCTGCCTGTACGAGTTACGAACAAACATCTACACTGACAGCCTACAGGAGCCCGAGATTGCCCCCCCCGCGGTATGCTGATCGCTGGTGCAATGCTTTACAGGCTCCTAATGTAAAAAAAATGTATAAGTGTCCAAATTACTTTCATGGTTCACAATAAAATTACCATTTTGTTTGGGTCACCAAAAGACTTCAAAGTCCCTTAGGGCTACAAGAATGTATTTGTGTGTGTGTATACAGTGGGTATAGAAAAGAATCATCCCCCTTAAAATCACATTTTGTTGCTTTGCAGCCTGTAATTAAGTTTTTGTTACATCTTTCACTTGGATGTTATAAGTCCAGTAAATGCAGCTGAACAAAACGCCAACATGTCAGAAAAAAAAAAAAAATCTAAAAACAGAATCACTGAGTTGAAAAAAAAAAAGATCACCCCCTTGTGTCAGTAATCACCTTCTCAATGGCACACAGAGCCATTTGACTTTCAACTGGGATCAGCTGCAGTAGTTTTGTTTAGCTCAGCATGAAAAGAGCTTTTCTGGAGCATTTCAGTCCCTGATAGTGCAACTGAAGCAAACAATCAATTATGGGTGGCAAGGCACTGTCAAAGGATCTCTGGGATAAAGTTGTGGACAGGCACAAGTCAGGAGATAGATAAAAAAAAAATTCAAAGGCTTTATCAATGCCTCAAAGCACAGTCCCTCTGTGGATCAGGACGTTGCTCCAAACTGGATGAAAGAGCCTGGAGGGAATTGGTCAGAGAGGCTACCAAGAGACCTACAGGAACTCTGAAGCAGTTGCAGGAATTTCTAATGAAGAGTGGTAATTGTGGGCATGTGACAACATTATCACAAATGTGGCTTGTATGGGAGGGTTGCAAGAAAAATGACACTCCTTTTCTCTGTGGCTACATGGTTTTTTTTTTTTTTTTTTTTTCCTGGGCTACTCCCAACTCACGTTAGACTAGGGGAGAAATAAAAACTCAGCAACGCCCCACATTCTATGCTTCCTATAGGCGGGCTTCCTTGGGCAGTTATCTTATTACTGTTTCTGAAAACCTGATGTAAGAGGGGACTCTTTGTTACTAGAGTCAGATATTATGTATCATATCTATACTGCAGCTGCTAAGAGGCTACATGGTTTATTTCATGTCTGGACATTTTTTGTTGGTCTTGCTGCATTCTTTATGGATGGAATTTGCTGTTCTATAAATTAAAGAATCTGAAAAAAAAAAGTCGCCACTCAAGAAAGGTCACATGCAGTCATTTATTTCAGGTACTTATATAGCGCTGTCAATTTACGCAGTGCTTTACACATATATTGTACATTCACATCAGTCCCTAACCCTCAAGGGGGGTACAATCTAAGGTCCCTAACTTACATTCATACATACACATACTAGGGACAATTTAGACAGGAGCCAATTCACCTACCAGCATGTCTTTGGAATGTGGGAAGAAACCGGAGTACCCGGAGGAAACCCACGCAGGCACAGGGAGAACATGCAAACTCCAGGCAGGTGGTGGTGCCGTGGCTGGGATTCGAACCAACGACCCTAGTACTGCCAGGCAGAATGACTGAGTTTTGCCAAAACACACCTTGAAGATTGGGGCCACATGGAAAAGGGTGTTATGGTCCGATGAGAATAAAATGTTATTATTTGGCCTCAGTACTAAATTATATGTTTGGCGGAAATCCAATACAGCTCATCATCCTAATAATGCCATTCCTACAGTAAAGCATGGAGGTGGTAATATCCTGTTATGGGGGGTTCTCTGCAGTGGGAACTGGAGCATTTGTCAGAATAGAAGGAAAAATGGATGGGGCAAAATGCCATCAAATTCTTGAGGAAAATCTACTGCCCTCTGCCAGAAAGTTGTCAATGGGAAAGGTTTACTTTCCAACATGACAATGTCCCAAAGCCCACAGCAAAAATGACCACACAGTGGTGGAAGGAGAATAAGGTGAATGCCCTTCCATGGTCTAGTCAGAGCCCAGACTTAAACCCCACTGAAAATCTGTAGAAAGACTTGAAGATTGCAGTCCACAAACGGTCACCATCAAATTTAACTAAACTCGAGCCGTTCTGCAAAGAACGAGCAAATATTGATGTGCAAAGCTAGTAGAGACATATCCCAACATACTAAAGGCTGTAATTAAAGCAAATGGTGATTCAAAAAAATACTGACACAAGTGGAGTGAGTCTTTCAAACTCGGTGATTTCTGTTTTTTTGAATATTTGAATTTTTTTTTCTGACATGTTGGCTGTTATATCTTTCACTTGAATGTTATACGTCGCACTGAGTGAATACAGCTGGATAAAACAAAAACTGTTTGTCTTCATTTTAGGCTGCAAAGAAACAAAATGTGATTATTTTAAAGAGGGGTGATTCTTTTCTATACCCAGTGTATATTATAGTGTGTGTATGGTTGCTCTGGACAACACAGGTCCTATTTCAGACTATGCCATTTTATATTTGTGTGTCGGATTTTATTCCTTATGACTTACAGGCAGTATGCCATTTTATATTTTTTTTTTCAGGTTGAAGATCCCAGCGAGCCCAATGATGAGGGAATCACAGCACTTCACAATGCAGTATGCGCCGGTCACACAGAGATCGTTAAATTCCTTGTACAGTTTGGTGTGAATGTTAATGCTGCAGACAGCGATGGCTGGTAGGCCATGTTTTATCACCTACAGTTATTTATTATTATTTTTTTGTTGTCTTATGACGTATCCTGCTGGGATAGGAATGTCGATAATGTAATTTCTGCCCTTTTTTTTTTTTTTTTTTTTTTTTGAAGGTGATAGTTTCAGGGCTGCAATCTTCATCCTTCATATATAAAATCTTTAAAAAAAAAAAAAAAAAAGGGTGTGCAACATTAGGCACCCAGGTGGTTTTGTTTTTTAAACATACAAAATAATGCCTTGTACACACTATAAGAAAAGCATACAAAAATTTTCGTACGTGGACCGATCATCCGATAATTGGATCGTTAGTACACAGCTTTCAGAGAGACGATCACGACAATTCGTACGACAATATCCGAAGGGACAAGCGCAAAACTAAAATCCTTTTTCTCTTATGGCTATAATACGACACCAGATTGCATCACGATTTTTTATTTAATCAGTACAGTAGTCGTCTAAAAATACAATACATTAAGAAAAGAAAACGCAATACATGACATCACTTTCGAATATCCGAAGGGACAAGCGCAAAAATTTTTCTCATTTCATTCATAGGAGAATTTTGACATCACTTTCGTATCGTATTTAGTAACCTTTTCCCTTTTGATGTGAGACTAGCAGGCGAAAAAAAAACGGCCGATCGTTCGTCTGATATTCTCATCGTGTGTACGGGGCATAATAAGAAGCACAGTTCAATTGTTTGTAAATATTACAAAAATTGTGCAACAGAAGCTTTTTTATTTTTGGGGAAAAAAGTTTTAAAGCATATAACAATAAGGGATGCTTACAATGATCAGCTTTTATTCATTAGTCTCAAACCCAACCCTAACTTCCACTCTTGCTGGATAGCCTAATGTGCAGAAAACTATAGATAAAGGCATGTAAAATAAAGGGTTTTCATATATTATATATTCTCATTAAAGTTAATAACATCCATATGGTTACTAAAATACAGTATGTTTCGCTATTGTCCTTTTTAATTACTTCCTGAGCTTTGTAATTACTTTGTAATGACTACAGGTCATTGCTTGACCTGAACATGATTGTAATGTACCTATGTCTTGTTGGCCACTTCAGGACCCCGCTGCACTGCGCTGCATCATGTAACAACGTACAAGTTTGTAAATTTCTGGTAGAGTCTGGAGCCGCGGTATTCGCCACAACGTACAGTGACAGACAGACCGCAGCAGATAAATGCGAAGAGATGGAGGAAGGCTACAGCCAGTGCTCCCAGTTCCTCTATGGTGAGTGTGCACCGAGTGATCTGTTTGAGTTGTGTAAATAGCCGGCTGAAGTGTCAGCTGGGTGTTTTTATTGAGATACCCACCTAATCTGCTATCTTCTGATATCTTTTACCAAGTAGTAAAGTCACACGGCAACATTCTATAATAATCCTTCTTTCACATGTTGCATTCAGAGGTTTATAAGTTAGGAATAGGGCACTGTTTGCATATGGCGTGGACTGTAGACCCTCGGTGCCCTAAAGTGGACAGTGACCCGAGTACAATATAGATGCTGCAGTAGAGATCATAAACCTATGGACGTATTCCTGTGAGGTCATCGGGTCCTTTTGTTTTTACTTTATGGACACAAGTTAAAAGAAAACTATTTTTCAAAAATGAGCAATGTTCTCAAATTGTAGGCATTTTGTGATGCTTTTAGGTACTTTTTGTTAGTACTTATTTTTGTGTGCATACAGTGAGAATCTGGATCCGTAGCACATATTTTACATAGACTTCAGCTTCTGCTCTGATTTGGATAATCAATGCCCTTTTCTCAGGTAACAGTCCTTTGTGAGACCCCACGTGTGGCTTGGTGGGTCATATTGCCATGTTATATGTTAATAACGCTTAGTCATTCTTTCAATCACATCCTACAAAGTAGCTTAAAGGAAAAGTACAGACAGAGCTCTTTTGTCTGTACTTTACCTGTGGAGCACAGGAGTGCAGTTCATTCTGCACTACCATAACCCATTTTCAGCCGACAGCAGGCTGAAGCCTACTGTCGGCTGGCATCACTCAGCTGGTCCACTGTCAGTCGCTGCTCTCTGCTCAGAGCAGCTGTGAGAACTCAAGGATCAGCGGTCATGTGATCGCTGAATTCTCACACTTTGAGCTGGCGGGGGAACAGATGCTGCATCCACCTAGGTAAGTTTATTTTTGGGATAACAACAAACCCATACTTCTTTTAAAAGATGAGTTGACCCTTAGAACATGTTACATGTTAGTGCGTTCCTCTTTCCTGTAGCCTCTGCCATGTTTAAAATTGGTAAATGAATAAACAAGTCCCATATGAGAACTAAAAGTCATCTGGTGCAGTGGATGTGGACTACAAGTGCACACTCGTCCATTGACGCTTCCTCCAGCTTTTTAACTGAAAGCCAGCATGCAGGTACGGGCAGAAAGCTGGAGGGAGCGCAGAAGCCTGACATTGCTCTGATCACAGGTGCAATGCTTTGCAGACTCATGAGGGAAAAATAATAAGTTGATGTTTTTTGTTATTTTCCTTGCAAAAGTATGTGCCTTTTATTATTTTTTCTTTTATAGGTGAACCTATTATTTGCATCCAAACCCAAAAACAGATCTGTAACATATTACAACTTACCAGTCCTTAGATGTGTGTTTTTGTTTTTTTTAAGAAAAGTAAATTTTCAGTTATGTTTCAGCAATTCCAATCTCCTTGTAACTTCCTGTGCAAAGAACTGACTTCTTACACAATATCAGCTTTCCTACCATCTTCTGTGGGCTTCATATTACCTGCCCTCTTTGTAATGGAGATGTAAGGGGGCAGGTGTTTGTAGTCATGATAGGTAGAGCTGCCTCAGGTTCCGACGCTGCTCTTTCATTGATACAGTGAGTGGGTCTTGGCTCCTTTAAAACATGAAGTGTTGCGTTATAGGATCACCAGGTGAAAAGGATAAAAAGCCTTAAAGGTAAAAAAGAATTCAGCCATCACATCGAAGGACTAGTAAGATGCAATATGTTACATGTTTGTTCTTGGGTTCTCTATACTGCAGTTTTTTCGGGTTGTCATTGACATGCTTGGACTTCAGCAGTATATTGTGCATGCACTTTGTAGGACAGCCAGTATTTGTGCATACATGCACTTTGTACTTTGTAGGACAGCGTATTTGTACATGCACTTTGTAGGACAGCAGTATTTGTGCATGCACTTTGTTTGTATTTGTGCATGCACAGGACAGTATTTGTGCATGCACTTTGTAGGACAGCAGACAGCAGTATTTGTGCATGCACTTTGTAGGACAGCAGTAGTACATGCATTTTGTAGGACAGCAGTATTTGTGCATGCACTTTGTAGGACAGCAGTATTTGTGCATGCACTTTGTAGGACATGACCGTATTTTCAGTACCTTTTACTGCAGTCACCATGAGGCTGATTTGAATATTGTAGTCTGGGTTCCATAAGAATCACTTGCAGCATAAATTATAATCCAGATGGAGAATGTTTTCTGGAAGCAATTCCCAGCCTGCCCAATCCCCCCGCCCCTGTGTTTGTGTAATAGCAGCCGCAGTAGATGGCTTACAATGAACGCCTGGAATGTGGCAGATTATAGGCCTCCAGCTTTCACTTGGCCTGGGCTGAGAAAATAATCGTTAACATGCTGATTAGATTACTCACTGCCTGGATGCCAGATTTACCCTTTACTAGACAGGCTAAGCAACTGCAAGCAGCACACACATTGCATCGAACCACATTCATCTGTGACCATTCACACCTTGACTGGTGAGCAGCTACTGAACCACAGATACAGCGCTGTCGGGAATTTTTCAACCTACCTCAAGAGCAGTCTGATTATTGTCATTTGAGAGGAGACACTTACTGTGAATGAGTAATGGCTCAGCCTTTTCTCATCTATCACAGTGTTCATTTCAGTTGTGTAAAGTGTTCTATTGCTTGACTTTCCTAAAAATAATAAAGAGGTCCAAAATGATTGTGATCTGAACCACTGATGCTCTTGATTGGGGTTGCTTTACTAAACTAGAGTCTGTTCACTCAGAAAAGGTAAGGTTTACTTAGCTTGGTGGATAAGGTGAAGACACCACTTCAATTATCCAATCACATTAAAGAAAAAATCATTACTGACTGCCAAGGGCATTATGTGTATAAAATAGAATCGCCCATTTCCCATTTCTGATCCCATTTTCACTTGTATAGCAGACAAATATATGCCAGACCTTTCAGGGGTACTTGGGGGGAAAAAATTTAGTAATGGCAGTAAAAAAAAGCTGTTCCACTGCAGCTGTCACAGGGATCCCAAGGGACTGCACATCCACCTAACTCTCTGGCAGTCCCCAACCCTCAACTGACTGCCTACCTTGCTAGTGCTCAAGTTCCTCTTTTGTTTTTTCATGCTGCGGACACAAGGAGAGAGCAAGCAATCTAGTTAGGAGTGCCAACTGACAGTGCTGGCCCTGCATTTACCTCTCACCAATACAGCTCACAATAACCCGGGGGGTGCTGGAGAGCATCCAGGACTAGCAAAATGGAGCATTCTGGCCAGGGATGGAAGTGTGGCTCTCCTGAGTGATGGGAGAGGGACCCTTGGCTTGAGCTCTGAATATGTAGTGGGGTCATCACTAGGCTCCCCCTAATTGTTTTTGTCAGTGCTCTGGATGTATTGAGGTCTCCTCCTGTTATCCCCTGATTGACTAGAGCTGTGGATGCGCTAGAGTCACCTCCTGTCCACCTTCTAATTGGCCGTGGTACGCTACGCTTAATGCTATTGTCCCTTTCTACTACTCCACCCCTGCCCCACCCCTATTTGGGGAGATCTGAGCTGCTCCACCTCACATGAGCTTTAAAATGGGTGTAAATGTTTTGTGTTAACTGGCATTGCTTGGATCTGTTATATTTGGAAATAAATCCGAGCCGGTTTGATCATCTGACAGACTAGCAGCTGGGAAGTGCATCTATGGAGAATGGTCCTTGTTGTTTACACCCATCTCTGCATTGACAGGAGGCTCTGACAGTTTGGCAACGACCGTCCCTTTAAACAGAATTACCTTCTAGCGTACTGTGTAATCTGCCAGGGGGCCATATCCTGGTATCAGCTTTGTCGCTAAGCTGCAGCAATAATCTCCAAATAGGTTTAACAATCTAGACCTTGTTTACTACACGGCTACAAGTTCACAAAGTCCTTTTTTATTCATTTTTTTTTCTCTCTTAAGAGTAGAAAAAGCTAAATAATTTTTTAAGATATACTTTCAGTAAAATGGAATGTCCACATTCCACACCAACCATTCTCAACCGTTTTAACACAGGGAAATCCTTGAATTACCATTCAGATCTAATACTGTTTCTATGGCTACATTGGCATGGACAACCAGTTGTGGCAGAACAAGAAAATGGCTGTTCTATAGAGAAAAAGTATTTTCAGTATTAATAATATAATGTAGTGTTCCCTATAATTGGTGGTCAGTGAATAAATGCCCACTTTCTATGATGGTCAGTGGAAAAGTGCCCCCTTATATTGTTGTTGGTAAGATACATTTTGAGGTCCCTTCACCTTGGTGGTCATTGGGAGAGTCAGTGAGAGAGGAGCCACATTACGTTGGTGGTCAGTGAGAAGAATGCTCCATGTATGGATAGCTAAAAAGATAAATTCTTATTTGAAGTAGCTCATTGCTGAAGAACCCCTAAAGGAACCCTAGGTAAAGCGGTATTGAACCCAAAAGCAACATTTATTATATTGCAGCTTACCAATTCTTAAAAGAAATAAGGCCTAAAAAAGAAACCTAATGCAGCCATCACATCTATTTTCATCTGGTGATCTGGCCAGTAAGTCTGTTTTTAAAATAATCCTTATTGTTTACTATTGTGTTTTTAGTAGATATTCTTGTGTAGATTTTATGAAATTCTTTTCCCCTCTCATAATTTGTGTTTTGACCCTGATGAAGGAGGCCTGTCAAAACCTCCAAAACGTGTTGGTTCATCACAGAGTTCAAAATAAGTCATTGCAATTTTATCTGCTTTTGGCAGTCATCGTCCTTCAAATTACGTATGTATTCTGCGAGTTGGCTAACCAAATCTTCCACGTTTGTCTGCAGGTGTTCAAGAGAAGATGGGCATTATGAATCGTGGCGTCCTCTATGCCCTCTGGGAATGCGAGGAGGAGAGCAATGATGAGCTGAGCTTAAAGGAAGGAGATTGCATGACCATATTACGGCGGGAGGATGAAGATGAGACTGAATGGTGGTGGGCACGTTTAGGAGATAAGGAAGGATACGTCCCACGCAATCTTCTTGGGGTATGTATTGTCTACATCATGGACATCTTGGAGCACTAGATTTCATGTTTAGCATGGTATATACAGAGAGAAATTTGTCTGGTCCCTGCTGAACCAGGCAATTTTCTGAACCAAGCCAGTCTGTGTGTACTGCTGTCCAACAGAAGCTGGGCTAACAACTGGCTTGTGTCAAATGGTCCTGCTGGAAAAAACCACATTCGATCAGTGCTTGAAGCCAATGGCTGCAGTGCTGATCTGTGTATTCTGGCAGGGGGGAGTCCGTGCTGTCAGAGTACAATGGCACGGCGAGGGAGATGCCTTGTGTGGATCTGCCAATTTTTTTATTTTTTTCATTCATTCAACCTGCTGGTTGAACAAAAAACTGAAAGTGTATACCCTGCTTAAAGTGGTTGTAAACCTTAGACACCAACAAAGCATATCCCTCTATTGTGTGTCTCAAATAAGAGCACAAGTGTCATTTCTGTCTGCTGCTTTGTTCATCTGCTATTGGCATGAGTCACTTTTGACAAGTTTTCCTGACACCAAGAGAAAAATGGTGACAGTGAAGGGAGCTTCAGCACACAGTCTGTGATTGATAGCCTCAGCTCTGTTCCTGTGTGAAGGGGGGGGGTGTTGTCTCTTCCCCCCCAATCAGCACTCAGAGCTCTCCTCGCCGAGCTGTTCAGAGTGTAACTTCAGCTCTGTGCCGCCTGCTTTCTGAATCTGTTGTAGTTAGACAAGATTTGTTTTTCAGTTCAGCTTTAACCACTAGCCTACAGGGCACTTATACCCCCTTCCTGCCCAGGCCAATTTCCAGGTCTCAGAGCTGTCACATTTGAATGACAGTTGCGCGGTCATGCAACACTGTACTCATATGAAATTTTTATAATTTGTTTGTGACAGAGCTTTATTTTGGTGGTATTTAATCACCTCTGGGTTTTTTATTTTTTCTTAAACCAAAAACCACTGAAAATTTTGAAAAAAAAACACGTTTTTTTTTTTTTGTTTTTGTTATAAAATTTTGTAAAGAAGTGATTTTTCTCCTTCACTGATGTGCGCTAATGAGGCTACAGTGATGGGCACTAATAGGCTGCACTGATGGACACTGATAGGTGGCACTGATGAGGAGGCACTGGTAGGTGGCACTGATGGGCATTGACAGGCATCACTGATAGGCACTGAAAAGCAGCACTGATATATGGGCACTGTTAGGCGGCACTGTTGCACTGACGGGCACTGATGGGTGACACTGAAAGGCAGCTCAGATGGGCACTGATATGTGGCATTGATGTGGCACTGATGGGCACTGGCACGTGGCACTGTTCAGCACTGACAGCTAGCACTGATGGACACTGACAAGTGGCTCTTCAGGGCACACTGATCATCCCTGATGATCAGTGTACATGTCCCCTCCGCGGAATGCCGATTACCGGCTCTCCTCTCCTCTCGAGCTGTCAGCATGACAGCTCGTGAGGAGAGAAATGCCGATAACCGGCATTTCCCTGTTTACATGTAATCAGCTGTGATTGGACACAGCTGATCACATGACCGAGTCGACATCTTCGGCTCTTTCCGTGGATCGGTGATCTGCTGTGTCCGAGGGACACAGCGCACCGCTGATCACCGTGCTGTGCGCTCCCTTAGCCGCACATGCGCAGTGAGATTGGGAGGACGTCATATATCAGAACAAGAGAACCACCTTGCGCCCGTGATTGGACTATATGGCGGGCGGGAGGCGGTTAAAGGTCTCGTTCATGAGTTATGATAGGATGTCATCTGGGTGAAAATATACACTACATATACTCCTAGATTGTAAGCTCGAAAGAGCAGGGCCCTCAATCCCCTCATGTTTTGCATTGTATTGGTATTGTTCTGTCATATGTTCTGTCCCCCTTTGTAATGTACAGCGCTGAGCGAACTATTGGCGCTTTATAAATACTGTATAATAATAATATACAAATGGTTTTGTAAGCCAGCACCAATAACTTCCTTTGGTGATACTACAGAGATAAGTATAGTTTTCTATATATTCCACCTTTCATCTTACTTGAAAAGGAAATGCATGTGAATGGAAGACTCCTTTACAATGAGTGTGTTGGGGGGGGGGGGGGGGCACTTGTCAAAGCAGAGAAGTCCTTTAAAGCTAAACTACATTAAAGCTGCTAATTGCACAGATGAATTGCATTTAAGGAGCTGGAGTACATGCCAAAGGAATTTGAGATCCTGGTCATCCAGTCCTTGAATTTGCACAGCTCTGCTGCACAGCCCAATCTGACAGGCAGGAGACTAGATTTTTCTCTGCTGCAGTTCAGTAACTCTTAGCAGGTTTTGTCCCTCCGTGGCCTGTGACTGGACAATGAAAGGAGTAGCAGCAGACCGATCAGTTCATTCTTCTGTTACTCTTCATCTTCCTGCTATTAGCATGTTTCTTGTTAACACAGGAGCACTGCAGCAGCAGCGTGACTGGTTCCTTTATGCTGCTTTCTTTTTCTCCTCTGTGAGCTCTGCTGTACCGGCTGTTGTAAGAGGCCGATGCCAGGTCAGATTGAAGCTCTTTAGTCTATCAGAATATCTTTGCAGTGGTAGGATTCTTCTGTATGCAGCCTCGTGTGTTAAAGTCGACTTCAAAAGAGCCGATTCATTCATACTTAAAGCTGAATGTGGTTGGCTGACTTGCTTTTCTGATGTATGTGACATTTAAAGCAGAATTCCAGCCAGATATAAGACCATAAAATTAATAGCCCATAAAAGATAGCAAAATAGAACCATGTTTGCTACAATACTAAGCTTAACATATTTGTAAACCCTCACCTTGTAAAACAACCATTCAGTTTAAAATAAAAATGAAAGGCAAAACATTTGTGCATACAGATAAACATTTTAAATGCCCCCGCCTCCCTTCCCCCACACTTTTTTTGATCAAATACCCTCATATCTCAACTTCATAAGAGCTGTGAGAGAAGAAACCGTCATACACTGATCTTCCCAGTGATTGGCTGTGGGGGGGTAGTGTGTCAGTACAAGTCTGATCATTGTTGGAGAGCAGGCTGAGTTTCTAGGACAGGTAGAGAACTGACCACACTGTGCTCTCCTTACTGTGGTCAGTTTTTAATAGTAACGCAGAGGGACTGTTGGGAACACCAGGGATTTCACACAAAGGAAGCTATACAAAGAGAAAAGGATACTTTTTCATACAAGTACATGGTACAGCAGGCACATATCAGGAATATGAAATGTTGGGTTCACATACTCTTTAAATTCAGTGATTTTCCCTGCATTAGTTTTCTTTCTGCCACTAGATACCCTCAGTCTGATGGCTAGTATCATGCAATCCGCTTTCTCTCAGCCCAGGTCACCTTGGACCTGTCCCCAGCCTGTGACTGGACAATGAAAGAAGAAGCAGCTCAGTGGTGAGCTCATCTGTCAATTTGCTGTCTTCTACATAGTTACATAGTAGTTAGTCTGGCTGAAAAAAGACAAAAGTCCATCCAGTTCAACCATAGAAAAAAAAAAAGTTATAATCCTATACCCACAGTTGATCCAGAGGAAGGCAAAAAAACCCAGCAAAGCATGATCCAAATTCCTTCCTGATTCCCTGAGAGGCAATCAGATATTCCCTGGATCAACTTTACCTATAACATTTAGTATGGTTTTTGTCAGCACTCTGATTGTATTGCTTCTTCCTCTCACACCTCAGCCCTGCTGTACAGGGACTGCAAGAAGCTGATACCAGCTCACATTTGGGTACATACATGGTCATATTTTAAAGTGATACTAACAGCATAAAAAACTAAAGTGATACTAAAGGCATTAAAAAAGAGGTTATACTTGCCTGCTCTGTGCAACACCATTGCACAGAGATGTTGCTTACCTCCTCTTCTGGCAATCCTCATTAGCTCCTCCCTACTTTGGGTGTTTCTTGTAGTAAGACAGGTGCTAAGGAAGCACCCATGTGTGCATGCTCCAGTTGGGTCCCGAGCCTGACTGTGTGCATCTATAGACACACACAGTGCTGGTAAGCCATAGCCTTGCTACCTCCTATGGGTTCGCTGCCCTCAGTTTCACCTGTGAAAGCCAGAAATGAGGGGAGCAGAGCTGGAGAGGTGACTTAGAGCCAGGTAAGTGTTTAGGGACAGAGGGGGGTAGGACAGCTAGTGGGGGGTAGGACAGCTAGTGGGATGTTTTGTCTGAATGAATGCATTAAGGTAAAAAAAAAAACTAGACTTTAGGAGCACTTTAATAGGTACAGAACTGAATGCATTTGTGTATTTTATATCTGCCTGAAGTTCAGTTTTGATGAGGCGTCCTCTAAGTATATTTACAGATTATGTAATTTTTTTTTTTTTTTTTTTTTTTTCAGCTCTACCCAAGAATCAAACCAAGACAAAGAAGTTTGGCTTAGATCATTCTGCAAACTTACTGCCAGGAAACATCCAGATGTCTGCATCACTTGAAGTAAAAATGTGGATTTTTCCTGAATAAATGAAGGATTGCAACATGCGCTGTGTCAGCGACTGCACACTTACCCACAATGCACTGGACTCTTAAATGGCCAGTGCATCCAACTGTAGACTGTCCCCAGTGCAGGGTAGTCCAGACTACTCTCTGCTGGGCCCACAAGCTTCTTTTGACCTTCTCAGTTTTAATATTTGAGGTCACCATCACTGCGTCCACAGTCCTTCATCATTCTCCGTTCCAGCATCATAGAAGAAGAGCACACAGTATGGAGTCATTTTTTTTATGACCTCAATGGTGGACTCATTAACTTTTTTTTTTTTTTTTTTTTTTCTTATCTCACTAACAAACATTTTACAACTGGACCGTATAGATATAGAGGACTTCAGTATTTTACTAAAACATTATTATATATTTATTTTTTATCTCATTGCCAGAAAAATGTAGTTTAGAAATGCTGTGTAAACTCCAGAGACAAAAAAAGGTTTTAATAAAAAAAAAAACACAAGTTGCATTGTGATGTGGAAAGTTTCGATTGAAATCTGTGTGGGTTTCATTGTCCACCTGCAAGTAATTCTCCTTTCAAGGAAACCTATACTGAGAGAGAGAAGTTTTGGTTACATCCCTGCCCTCTGCTTCTGAAGCTGCTTTCACACTGAGGAGTTTTTGAAGTGTTTTTGCATAAAAAAAAAGTACCTGTATGTTTATGTATATTTTCACACTGGGGCATTGTGCTTCTGTTGTGGTGTAAAAACTCCTGCTTTCAGCATCTTTTGGAGCATTATTTGTTCAGTTTAAAAAAAAAAAAAAAAAAACGCCCCAAAAACACCTTGTCTCCTTGAAATCAATGAAACATGCCTGAAAAATGCCTCTGAGAATTGTTTCTGGTGCAGTTTTAAAGTTGTGTCCTTTAAAAAAATGCTCAGAAAGCGTGGAAATAACACATACGCGTTTTTTTGCGGCGGGTCAGTGTGAAAGTAGCCTCTCTGATATGATTTTCAATATGTATAGTGTTAACCACTTCAAGTCCGGACACTTTCACCCCCTTCCTGTCCAGGCCAATTTTCAGCTTTCAGTGCTATCACACTTGGAATGCCAATTGCGCGGTCATGCAACACTGTACCCATTTTTCAGCATTTTTTTGAGACAGATAAAACTTTATTTTTGTGGTATTTATTCACCACTTGGATCTTTATTTTTTTTGCTATATAAATGAAAAAGTCCAAACATTTTGAAAAAAAAGTTTTTCATATAAACATTTTGCAAATAAATAATCGAATGTATTCAGCTGTCTTTTTAGTGGAAAAAAAAAAAAAAAAAACCCAAACTAGTTTATAACCAAAAATTATAATTTTTCTAAAAAATATGACATTTTTTTTTTTTAATATTATTTATTTATATTTTTTTAGCTTATTGTCACCCTAGCTCTACAGTGACCATACCATAGTGACACTGTACTACTTGTGGGGGGTTATGAAGATTTTTTTTTTTTTTACACTGATTGCTTTTACACTCATAAAGGCTGTAAAAGCAATAATTTCTCCTTCTCTCTGGCTGCATTCTTGCAGCTGTTGAGAAATACTGTGTGAGAGCTGTGATTGGTCACAGCTTGTCACATGGTACAAGGCTGTTGTGAATAGCCCTGTACCATGTGACCTCTGTGATCATTCACAGATTTCACTAGGAGCAAGAAGTGACATCTTGCTTACTACTATTCATGTGATCACTGATGGGGCAATCGGTGATCACATGATCGGGACCTCACACAAGTCCCGTACAGGCAGGGAGGACGTTTATTAATGGCTACCCGCTCCTGCACTGCTCCCGTCTGGCAGTTTATATACATGGGCAGGATGGGAAGAGGTTAAATTAAAGGCAAACCTTTAAGCATGGGAAAATATGTCAACCCTTTTAGGTTGTTTCTTCATCAATGTCTCCCATTGGGGAGATGTCCCTTCACTTCCTGTCTTGTAGAGACAGCAGGAAAGGAGAGGAAAATCCTGAGACAGTTGTCACAGAAACAAGTGCCTCCATTAGAACATGCCAATTCAATTCACTCTTTTTTTTTTTTTTTTCCATTATTTTCAGTCCAGAGATAATGTTTGCCAGGTCTAATACAGAGAGTGAATCTCCTTAAATGGAACACAAATAACAAAAACCTGAGTAGTATTCCTACCCTCTCACCACTTATCCAAAACTAAAAATAAAAGTTTTGATTTTAGATGCACTTTACATATGGAGATTTGTAGGATAACCACTAGAGGGAGCTCCGCCTCTCTGCTTAATAGTATTAGGAGATCTTGGCCAAACTGGAAGAGCATGGTTTTCCATTAAGATCAGGGGTGTCCAACCTTTTGACTTTCCTGGGCCACATTGGAAGAAGAGGAACTGTCTTGGGCCACACATAAAATTCACTAACAATAAGGACAGCTGATGAGCAGAAAAAGTTGGGCAGATCAAATGTTAATGATCACTGATATAGATAATGTACCTATCTGAGTAATAAAACTTAATTCTTTTAGAACTAAAAATATTACCAAAAGAATGAAGGCAGCATAAAACTAGTGGCATAAAAACTACATAAAACTAGTACAATATTTGACACTGTTTTTGATAAACACATCAGTTTCTGGTTGGATGGATGGAGTAGCAATTCTCAAGGTGCTCATCAGATCTTTTGGTTCTAATTTCGCCCTATGTGTGTGTTTCATTCTTGAAAATAGTGTGTAAAGGTATTTACAAAAAATGCCAAACAAAATCAACATATTTATGTAAGTTTATGTTTGTGTTGGGCCACATTCATAGCTGTCTTGGGTTGCAGGTTGACACCCCTGATTTAGGATAAAATGACAGGTTCTCCTAAAAGAGCACCACCCCACCCACTGATAGCATCCCCTTGCTCCCCCAATGCTCTGATCCTTATGTGAACCCTGTGCAAGCTCTGCGGAGTTAATGATTTTATTTACTTCCTCACATATTTGGGCCTAGTGATTGGCTGCTAAGGGCTGTGCGCTGTATCCTAGAAGGAAGGGAGGGGAGGGTCTGTTGTACGTTCCAATGCTGCTAAGGTGCCTGGAAGGATAGATTCAAACCAGTTGCGCAACATTTAGGACATGTTAATGGGCGCTAAACACACTTGAGTTGATTTGTGGGGGGGGGGTTTATGCATTGGGGTTTTTATTTGACACTTTTTTTTTTTTTTTTTTTTACTAAAAGCATACAGTGAAACTGCACTTGCAAAGTGCACAGCCTCTGTTTCCCCAGAGCTTAGTAAATGTGGTAAAGGTCTGCTGATTTCCGTTAACCTGCAAGCAAAAATACTTTTTTTTTTTTTTTTGTTTTCCATTCATGTATTCATTACAAAGTGAAGCTTTAAAACATTACATCTACTAATGAAAATGAAAGCAACTGCACTTGCGTTACATTTTTCTAGAGAGGGAAGTCTGTTTTCTGCAACAAATGCAGAGAAAATGACACAGTAACAGTCTGTTTAGATGTGTACTTTTTTCTGTGAAGATCATTTCAGGGATAGTATAAAACCAAATGCATTGGCCCAGTGCTTGTCTCTGCTGCAAGAAGTTGGGGCCATAGAAGGGCCTGTAAGAATTGACTGTACCACACAAGCAATAATGGATGTTTGTTGATGGGCTCAGATTAACGGTCTTCTTTCTATCTAAATGACCCCCAAAAATGCACATCAAGGCTTGTAGGGGTGCTAAATTGCAGTCAGTAATTCACCTCATTACTTGTTCATAACAGTGACCAGGCTTGGGGCTCTTTCTACAGAGCAGACACAGAGCTGTTCGCTCTCCTCAATGGGTGGTCAGATGAAAACAGACCACCTGTCTGTTTTCATCTGACCCGATCCAATGGACGGAAGGGGAATTGGATCCCCCATCTATCTCTTTTTTGGCAGATCAGATGTCGGTGAGTGTAAATGGACACATGGAGGTTCTGATTTGGGTCCACTTGAAAAATGGGCAGGCGGACCCAATCAGAACATCTGTGTGAAAGAGCCCTTAGGTGTATCTATACCCAAGAAGAAAACTGTAATACATTACAGCTTACCAATCCTTAGCTGTGGTATTTGCATTATTTTTTTTTAATGCTGCATTCATTTATTTTAGCCTGGTGATCCTGCCAGTAACATATGTCATGTCCTGTCCTGTGTGAACACAGTCACAGTATTTATGGTGAAGCCACAGAGCATGAAATGTTAGAACTACATAACCAGCCCCCCCATCACCATATCATGGAGAAGTGTTCGGCAGCTCACAGACCTGGGAACAATGTACAGTCAAGTATTTGATCCCCTGCTGATTTTGAATGTTTGCCCACTCACAAAGAAATGATCAGGGGATCAAATACTTATATCCCTCATGAACATGCAAATCAGTGCATAATTTATTAGACATGCATTTCTTTTGAATTTTTTTGTTGCTATTCTGTCTCTCAGTGTTACAATACACCTACCATTTGATTTTTAGACTGATCATTTCTTTGTGAGTGGGCAAACATTCAAAATCAGTAGGGAATGAAATGCTTATTTCCTTCACTGTAACTGAAAAATGTCAGCAAAGGCAAGGAGCACAGCTGTAAAGATTTCCTGGCAGGATCAACAGATATTTTTTTTTTTAACTTCTCAAACTGATGTAACAAAATTTTTCAATGGTATATTTACCACACAAAAAAGGGGCAAAAACAAACAATTCATTGTTAGAGTTTACATTTCTTACACAGCAGGTCTATAGCAAATAACGAGTCCAGGAAATCAGCCAGTGAATGAGTTTCTTCTTTATTAATTGGCATTTCAAAAACAATCCTGCACCGCATATTGAACAAGGCTTGTATTGTATAAATAAATCTGTCATGGACACCGCTTATATCCGATTTTGCATAGATCATCTTCTAGTGATTTAGTTATGAAATATCCCTGACTGCCAAAAC